GACTGGGATTAAATTGGCTACCTGTGGCCCCACCGGCATTGACACTCTCTCTCAGTAAGGCACCAGAGCAGGTCCGTGGTAAATATGAACCTTGAGGCAACCTGAGACCTTCTACTTTCCCTCTGACATCAATGCAACACCCCGTATCTACTGACATCAACAGATAAATCACACTCTAATAATGTTGTCAATGTGTGGCTAAATGCTGCAAGCAAAAAAAAACGTAAGCTACATGATTTTGGGGGAAATTCCCAATTAAAATTCCATAAATAGAAAAATGCTGCAACGATTTAAATACATAACATAAAGGCAAGGCTAACACTTGTGTCAGAATAGCGAATAAGCACAATAGAAGTCTTTCAAGGCCAGACAGAGATCCATCACAGATGATTTGTGACCCACATCACCACACCAAAGCAATACTGCCTTCCCCCACCTTCGTCCAATCACTTTTAAAAAGAAACAACCTTTACATTAAATCTGGAGGGTTTTCCAGCTAATGTGTGTGGTGCAGTATGATTTAAAGATGAGACAAACATATATATATGCAGGAACCGGTGTGCTTCATCCCAACGTCATGGGTTTATTCTAAGTATATCTATACTGATCCCGAACTGAGACAATCAGCAGCGCAGCATTGTGTCTTTTTTAGCTCAGCTCTAGGAATGTCAATGAGGTCCTACACTCTCAAAAACCATTGGACCGATTATCCGAAATGTGTGTACACACATCAATTGTCCCCGGAGGATAAATCTCACATAGACCTTTGGTGGTCCCCCAACTTTTAATCTAGCACCATCATGAAGCTGATATGTGTTATTTTAAGTGAATGGAACTATTAGAAGGGTTTCCATGAAAAGTGGTACATTCATGTTCCCCTCAGGATGAAATGTAATAGTTACTGATACCTTAACCTTTCATAGTGCCATGAACCTGCAAAACCATTGAAATTCCCTTCAGCTGCATTTTAACTTTGTTTGTAGTGCTAATTGTGTAAGCATGTCAAACCTGTCTCCTACAAAGCTACTTTTCCATACAACTAAACTGCATTTTGAATTACATTTTCAGGGAAAACATATTTACTTTTATATTATGGTCGCCATTTTAAACACAAAGTTGGCATTGGAAAACGACCTTGCTTAGTTGTAGTCAAAGGTCGTAGTTTGACTTAAAATAAGTATGTAAGTATACATGATGTTAATTAGAATAAGTAAACGTTGACTTTTTCCTCACGCAGGAGACACAAAGCTAACTAACATTTTACCTGGTAAACAGCATGATATGCATTGTCATTGTGAGCATAATAGCATGCTGTTGTTAGCATCTAGCCTGAAGCAAATGTTGTTATAAGTACAGCCTCTCGTTAACGACCTATATGTAGCCTAACCTTACATTGCTACCAAATTTGCTTTGACACATATTATCTTTTAAACATCTTCAAAATCTATCATATTGTTAGAAATAGTAGAGTTTGATGACAGATGTATTTTACTGGTATATGCCGGCAGACTTGCTATTAAAACATGCAGTAGCTGAGTTCAGGAGATTGGCAGGGGTGGGATAAAGCTCAGGGGGCTTCCTGTCTTCACCAGGCAGTAAACTATTAGCGGAAGCACTTCTCATAACAGTATAAATAGCAGACCCACACATAACTCAGACTGAAATACCCGCTCATCTCATCCTCTGTCTGGCATCAGACAGTTCAGCTTAGGGCCCTCAGGAAAACAAAAACCCGGTAGAGATAATAGGGACACTTTACAGAAGTCTGTGAAGCTAGATCAAGGCTCTTATGGCATTATTTAACTCTCTTCCAACAAGTCACTGACAGGGTCTCCTTACAGCACGGTCAATATGAGATCATCGGGTCACATGGGGTGACCTTTGCTGCCATATTGAAAAGGGGCGGTTGGGTTTGAAGGGCAGTCGAAACTGTAAAACTGAACAAAAAGACATTTATTCCATACAGCTGCCAGCTGTATCTGAATCAGAGTGTCTGAAACCTGACATTGTATGATCCTGCCTTAGAAGAAATACACATAACTCCTCTGATGCTTTAGACGTTTAGAGAAACAAACTCCAATGATCTGAGCAAGTCCCAAACCAGAAAAGGTGACAGTATGACTAAGTCGTTTTATATTCGCACTTTAAGGCTTTGGGTTGTGTCATACAGCCATGAGTAAGCAAAGAACAAAGCATCAAAGCAGTAATATCACTTTCACCATTAAACCTGGCGACACAAAACACAATGAGGACAACACATTTGCGCCATGGGCAAAAGTAACCCAAACCTTCATTATACAAAGAGAAAAAATGAGTCAATAGCATCTAATTACATTTAGTTTAAGGCAAATCAAGAGAGGAAGAGAAGAGATGAGATGGGAGCACCTTGGAAACTAAACTCCAAGATCTGATCTGCAATAACACAGAGAGGGCACTATCATAAAGTACTTTTCAGGCAGGAAAGATAATTGCTCTGTTGCCATCTGAATAATACATTTATCTAACTTAGAGTGCAATAACATCAGATGTCTTCATCCACAATGCTAAAGAAGTCCTCATCCAGTCTAAGGGATGTACCAGTGAGGACATGATCTCTGCATCTTCTCTTGAGGAACCGGCAAACGTGTAGATATTTTAAAGGTTGAATGAATTAACCTTAACAATCAGTATTTTGATGTCCTTTTTAAGTTTGCCGTGTGGTCAGAATCAGGACTCCAAAAGACTGATTACGTTGCTCCATTACGGCTGGATGTGTAAACAAGCCACTGTTTGCTAAAATATTTGCCATATCAACTAAGAAGGTGATGATATGACGATATTACCAACTTGTTTCTGTTGTTCCCCAGAAGCCACATTTGGATTGGAAAAATGTCTTCAATCTTTATTTTAAACCACTTTAAAGGACATTGGATTATCTATAACAAAGTGAAGTACTTTTATCATCAAAATATCTGACTACCCTGCATGTCATGTAAAGATATAGTAAATGATCAGGGGATGAAATCATTATTACTAAGTGATCTATGCAGACAATCGGTGTGAGGTCACAGAATACTGGAAACAGCATTATTCATCCCACTCTCTTCCGGTACGTGCATCACATCAGCACATCACTGTATTGACTCCTGCTGGCACTAACTCCACTGGTGCAGCATGGGCATTTGCCTCAGAAGTCTTCCGGCATTTTGAAACAGGCCACAGTATTAAGTGTTAAAGCTCATGGTCACTTTTTTAAATATCTTCCAGGAATGCTACTGGATAGTAAGCAGGTTTAAGAGGGGCCACGACCCTCGCTCTGACTGTCTGTGTGTCTGTGTGCTGATGTCATTCCTCCGGTCTGACCAGGCGACAGGGAGACTCCAGCTCCAGTAAACTGAGGAGCCAACGGTTAAATATGGAGCTCCAAAACAGGGACCTGAAGTAAATAATCTCCCTTGTATTTCTTATATTCAGGGGTGGTAGGTAATTAAGTGTAGTATAGGTTTAAGCTTCCTGTATTTAAGTATTTCTATTTTAAACAATTGTATATTCTTAAACACTACAATTCAGAGGGAGATTTTGTACTCCATACATTAAGTGACTTTTCATAAAAAACATCCAACTGCATGATGTTTTTATTAAATATCATAGATTAATCTAACCTGAAATATATTGACATGAGTGGTTCACAAAAAATAGCATGACAATTAATTATCAATACAATATAATTCGATACTAACATAGAACTATAACAGAACACGGCCGAGGCCAAATTCCCTATTGAAAGGGAAAAATTGTTCATTCACCCTGTGATCGAAATCTGTGTTTTTCCTTGGCCCATTCTACACCCTTCCACCAAGTTTCAAGGAAATTCGACAATATTTTTTCCACAATACTGGAAAAAAAAAAAAAAAAAAAAAAAAACTGAACTGAAAACCTAAAATCCTTGTTGAAGGTAATAATGGAAAGTTTAACACACAGCAGTAGTTTATCTGCACAAAACAAATACTTTCATTCATACAGCGTCTGAACCTTTACATTTTCAAATTGGAATTTTATTTAGATGTAATAGAAATAATGTTATGTGTAGAACATAATCTGAATAATTATTTCCCCACTGTTCATATGCATACAGTATCACACATATCCACACATCTGTGTGTCCAAGTCTTACACCAGAAAAGTTTAACAAAAACCTTCAAAGATGTAAACTGAATGTGCCAACTGACCTCTATCAGACCTATATCCTATAGATATATTACAGAACTGTTCTCTCTGGAACCCGTTCAGATGAAATACAATTGAAACCTCTTGCTTTAGGAGAGGTAAATAAAGACTGTCTCTTATTAATCGTGATGCCGTAAACATTTTTGGATGATTTAAAAGCAGATCTGCTGTTATAACTCATGAGGGTGTGTTCCAGTCACACTGAAAGACGCAGCAAAACAGCTGTTGGCAAACACATTCAAATATACAAGCAAACACAGATCTCATCCATGAACACATACACACTCAGCCCTACACACTATTGGACACATTCGTATCTCTATTCCCCTTCTGTGAAGTCAGCATCAGACCCAAACTGCTCTAAAAAAAATGCTGCTCACTTAAAAACCTTTTTTCCCTCCTTGAGAAATCACTGCCTGCCAGCTGACTCAGCACAATCTATACTCTCATCCACTTACTGTAAATCATGGTCTTTTACCTTAGAGCTCATGGGCTGCTCTTGCAGTACGTGCTGCACATTAAACATGCTAAAACTCCTGCACCCAGTTCAGAGAATTGAGTGTAACAATGATTTAGCAAAACTGAAGACTGGTGCAGCACAGAACTACTGACTGTAACAGACACACATTTCAGATTTCAACCTTCACTAAAAAAGAAAATTCATGGTATGGTGAACATTTTGCATACAGAGCAGGTGCAGGTACACCACACATCTCAGCTCTGTATGTGAGGTGCAACAAAAAGTCAAAGAGGACACACATGGTACAGGTTCAGTGCCGCATTCATCTACTCACCAGCTTTTAGACTCTGGGGTAAGCTGCTGGTGAAGTGCTAGAGAGAAGCCAAAAAAGGTGCCATGGTCTCCCAACTTATGAAGTGTGTGAGTAGTATCCAGGTTAAATCCCCACACTTGGCTTGAAAGGGTCAAGAGAGCCCAGAGGAGAGTAGTCCAACAAAGACAGGAGCAAGATGAGAGGGAGATGGTGTTCCCATGTCCCACCGGGGCTGCCATAGCAGGGTGCAGGTCCTCTTAGCAGCAGAGCAAGTTCACTTCAAGAAGAGTACGGGGGGAATCCTTGTTTGGCTCCCAGAGTGATAAAAGAGAAAACCCTGTAGTCTCCTCTTCTCTGTGGATGCCTCACTTGTTTCCAATCCTCTTTATTTCCCCGCCTTGATGCACCGTGCTGCCTCCCAACTCCGTTTGCTGCTGTCAGTCTGAAGAGCAGGCTGTGAAAATGTGTGAGTGTGTTTCTCTCAATTCATGTGCGCCTCCCCCTCCTCTGTGCTCAGAGGGAGACAGAGGACAAGTGCCTTGAATAGCCCCCTCACTCCTCCCCCTCCCCTCTCTCTTTCTGTCCCTCCCTCCCTCCCCTCTCTCAGCTGACATCAACACTCAAGGGACTGCTGCCAAAATACCAGGCAAGGTTGTCAAGATACTTGGAGGCTACTCAATAGAGAGGGACAGGGTGAAAAGACAGCAGACTGTTTTATCTGTTTTAGTTCACATGGTCCACCTCTTTCTGTGGCCACTGTTTGCTGCAGGTGCTTGTAGATCTGTGGATCAAACAAGGCAAAAACACTTTTGGCACAAGCTTTAAAGTTAAAAAGCCAGACAGAAGAGAAATCTTTAAGGCTTTGTTCTTACTTTGAGCTTGAAAGCCTTGACGTCTGACTCGATCTGCAATGAATAGGAGACAAAAGGGGCCTAAATGTGCACAGTGACCCAAGAAACTTTATTACAGACCTTTAGCTCCTCTTTAAAAAAGGGAGAGCGGGAGAGATGTGCTTTGACAGAGCAATGAGACATAATCAGGAGAATTGCAGGCTTTCATCAAAGCACATCAATTGTGATTTTGCTATTTACTACTGAAACAAATTGATGCCTTAACACAATTCTTTTTAATACAGGTAGCTCAAACCGGCAGCATAATCCCAGACCTTTTACCCACAGCTGCCGTTTTAACCAGCTGATTTCTGTTTCTCTTGAGACAATCTGGTTGCAGCTGTCAGTGTGTCACCTCAACTGTTCCAGACTATAAACCTCACACACACACAGCAGTTGCACTCCAACAATGTGCGATAATGTAATACTTGTGTGTGTCACCTTTCTAGTTAGGATGCTATTTTGGATAAAAACATTTGTTTGAATAGATTTTATTCAGCCTATAAGGTTTTAGGTAGATATTAATATTTTAAATATTAAGGCCAAGATGAGATTTTTTCCAACTCATCCCACAGGTCTGACTTCCTTGTGCTCAGTAGAACTAGATCATATAGGGGAGGGGATATCACATTATCAAAGATTGTATATCCATTACAGAGATTGGAACACAATACTTGAAGTTGCACGTAAACTTCTCACAGTGCCAACACAAAGAAGACGTCCAAGTCTTTTCTGTCGAGTTTCATGTTTGGTATGCATAAACTCGCAGTGAGGGACTACCACAACTTACATTTTAGAGGGTTTGCTTGATTCTCTAGCTAGCTGACTAAAACACATCTTAAGACTGTCAAGATTAGTGTCTCTTGGCACTATCATCAATGTCTACAACACACCAGGTTACTGAAAGGAGGAGGCTGAATTCCTCTCATGTGATCTGGCTGGCATCATGAACCACCTTTTGGTGTCAAACACCCTCTGCCCCCTGCTGCCCTTGTGTGGTATTAAAACGTGCTGATGAGCTTTCATACAGGCCAGGTACACTTGGTAAGGGGTTTTTATGACTTCATCCTCCACATTTACATCAATGAGTATTTGCTAAACTCAGGCTGTATTATGTTAGCTAACAACCTTACACACTGGCAACTACAACACGTTCAGAATAAGAACTAGTTTTAGCTTTTTGTCTATTTAAAAGCCTATATATTGTTGGCTCTGAAGGTGAAATCCAGTAGCATTCTCTCTGGTGACACAGACAATATTTTGATAACAACACAAAGAGTTACAGCCATGCTAGCAGCTCTGTATAGGCTGCACTTTGAGCTAAATGCCAATGTAAGGATGCTAGCATGCACACAATGACAATCCTTACATTTAACTTGTATGATGTTAACCATGTCCAGTGTCAACCACTTAAGCGTAGCATGTTGCTTTCATGTGCTAATCGGCATTTAAAATAAAGGAGAGTTAAGCAATGCTATTATACTTTTGTAGTTGTTGGCCATAAACAAAACTATTGGACATACTGTAGTATAATTTTTACTTTAAGATGTTAAATAAGAAGTCATGAGATCACCATAAGTTTAACGGGGGGGGGGGGGGACAAGATTTTCTGTACCAAATGTCATGGAGATCCATCAAATAATTGCCAGGACTTTTAAACAAAATGGAATATGGTGGCGCTAATTGAAAAGTTCTTAAGTCACCGACCAATCAGTAGGATTCATCTTCAGGACAATAAATGTCTGCACACAATTTCATGCCATCCATCCAATAGTGGATGACTTTGGATGGATGAGTTTCAGTCTGGTCCACAGTATTATTACACAAACTGACCGACATTGCCATGACCCTCAAGCGACAACGCTAATAGTTCAGTCTTTTGTACCCTAACTGTTGACTTATCTTTAGTGATGGAAAAGATGGATAAATAGCAACATATAAATAATGTTGGAAACATGTTATTCATTATCTTTGGTAACAGATAACAGATTTAAAATGATCAAAACATAAACAATGCTGTCAAGTCTGTTTGTGTTTCCAAGCATGTGGGAAAGTTCGGCATGCCTGTATCTCTGCGGAGCATTTTGGCCTGAGCGTGAGCACGTAATGGGAGTTTTACAGCAGTTGTTCCCACACACAGCTCACTGACTTAGTGGCCTCACTGAATATCTCAAATCTAATCGAAAGGTTGATTACTGATATCCAATAACATAGAGTGCACCCTGGCCGTTGTCCAGCTTCAGATATAAATGCTAGAAGGATTCCACAAGCAAAAGAAAAGAAGAAAGAAGTAGGAATGGTGTGGGGTGTGGAGAAATGCTGAACACTTCTTAATAGCAGCTCAGGCAGGAAGCCAGACAAGAATTCCTTTAGACAGAACAGAGCATAGTCAGAGAGAAGGACAGAAGAAAGGGAAAGAGAGAAGAAGAAAGAGATGGAGAAGAGGAGGATATTGGCTGTAAAGATGATCTGCCACGACGTCCATGACACTGGCGAAGTGCTCATTAGCAGTCTGAGCCACACTTCAAGGAGAGATCTTATTTTAGACGCAAGCAGGGAGAAGTACATACGGGCAGGGTCATTATTCCTGTTATAGCCCCCCTTCAGTACGATGACTGAGACAGCCGCAGTCAGCACTATTAGTGTATTGATTAATGGAAAGTGTGGGATGCTATAAGAGGGAGTGGTGCTGGTTATTATGGGATTAAATGCAAGCATGCCCACTCTTGCTACTGTACTGCACATGGTCTCAAAGGAAAAGGCTAAACTGAGCGCAGTGGTTTTGTCAGACTGTATAAAATGACATTGAGCTACAACATTATGGATTTTTCTATCTTACACTGACTTATTTGTTAGACAGTCTGAGAAGCAAGCCACTACATTTCTCCATTGATTTGATGCATTACTGCAAAGCTCCAAAAAGTCTTGAGTCTAAATACAATCTAAACTTTGCATACTCACACACTGCAGCCATAAATAATGTTGCACTCGAGACGGCAAAAAGACCAACAACATTTTTTTATAACACAGTGCAAAAAAAACATTAACAATCAAACTTAATAAAGGAAGTATTGAAAAGCTTTCCTTTAAATCTAATCCTAAAAATGTACTTGGTCTTAAATATAAGACAATATAAGTTAATGCACAAAAATGCCATGGTTTGTTACAGTTAATACAATAGAAATCAATCACAAATCAACTGCAGCGATTCATTTGGGAGTCTGGAACCATGATATATTTTGTATTTAATGATTTACAAAATATCTGCTTATCCAGTTTCTGTTATTTAATTGACTAAGTGATTAATTATTTCAGTCGATCTTGTACATCATTTCAAATGTGTTCATAAAAATAATTCATACAAAATATTCAACTGGTGTGACCCAACACAATCTTACTTCAGTGCTGTGGTACATTCTACGATCATCCCTAAAAAGAAACAGGACGACATAACATCTGTTGTGGTTAAAAATCCAGCCCCTATGGTACGCATAATCAAAATGAGACAAAATAAAAGTCATAGGTTAATTGTTTTGCATGTGAAACAATATGCTTGATAACAAGACCTGGTATATCCAACAGATATAGGTCAGAGGCGACCTCTAGTGGCAGGTAGAGGACATTAAGAAATAAGCATTTTTAATGTAGTTTCATGATAACTTCAGCAATTCCTATGACACTACAGTTCTTATACGAGGACAATCTTAAAACTCCTAAGTTGATTATCAACAAACTAATTTAAGTAATATATTTTAGGAAAATATGATAAAATCTGAATTGTTAATACATACATAATCCACAGAATAAATAAAGCCTTAACAGTACCCATGCTTAAGGTTTTTGTAGGTTTTTTCTTTATTTCTCTGTCTCCTAACTTGAAATGTGTGTGTTTTGGTACACAGCACAAACAGCTGTTTTATTAAACACTCAAAGTGGCCCTATTTTTTTTGAATGCATACATTTAAATGTCCATTACACAATCTATATTTCAAACAAACGTACCCATAGAAAGCAGCAGCAGCAAGATATGGCAAATGTTTGACAAGATTATATTGTAAGTTGTGTGTTTCCCAATAAATAGTTCAATTTGGAATCCTGTAAAGGGGATTTCCACTGATCCACACATTTCTCTTTCCTGTGAAAACAGTGGCGAAACATTGTTCTTCGACATGAAGCGGTTTGGTCTAATAATCTCTCCAGTTTATGGGTCTGGGCCATAAGAGGGGTTGTAGGGCAGCGGTGCAAATTCCTCTGAATGTGGAGGCGGGGCATAGGGCTGGCCGGGGTAGGAAGCCATCGGCAGCCCGGGAGTGTATGCAGATGGAGAGCAAGCTGGATCAGCTAAAATGAAAAGAAATATATATAATAACTTTGATTTGGTTTGTTGTTACTAAAACGGTGTGTTGCTTGCATGTAACAATTATAAAAAAGATAATACAGATCTTGTTTTTTATTTTTGTGATTGAACGAATAAAAAAAGTATTAAATAGTTTTTAATCCTTGCGTACAAAAATTAATGGAAAGCAGTTTCAATGAGGAATGTGTAGTATGACTATTATTTTTTCAACTTTCAAAGCCTTGATGTTTTTCCCTCAAATCAACAAACTTTCTAAAGGAAATCAGATTTAGATATGGTAAAGGACAGTAAACTGAAACTAAACACCCAAGTGGATTAGATTGCTGGGTGAAATCAACCAAGCCTGCTACACCCATTTATTCCTCTCAGCCTGATTCCTTTTGCAAGCACAAGCCAATGCTAAGATAATAAATGTCATCAAATAACTTACCGGCTTCCAAGTATGAAGGTGGTGCTGAAGGGAGGGGCACGCCTCCATATCCAGGCTGAGCAGGTACAAAAAGGTAGCCGGGGTAGGACGGATGATATCCAGGAGGGGGGTGTGGCTGCTGCGGCACGTTGACAACAGTGGGGGTGTTTCTTGCAGCTGTAGGTAAAGTCATAGGTTGAGTTTGCTTTAAAAAACAAGGTACCAATACTCAGCTGAGTCAAATTGTGTCACTATATAGTGAGAGAAAATATTGTTTTTTTGTTCAATAGAAATATTTCAAACTTAAAGGGGCTTGTAGACAGATAGTGTTACCTTTGGAAAGAGCCAGGCTAACCGTTTTGATTTACCTCACCTGTTCCAAGTTAAGTTAACATGCTGCTGGCTAACTTCATATTTAGCTTAGCTTACACAGGAGATCGTTATCAAACTTATCTCTTATCTATCAATATAACTCTTGGCAAGAAAGTGAATAACCGCATTTCCCATGAAGCCAAATTCCTTCAAATGTTACAGCCTGCAGATCCAGTAGCCTACATAACATTATTTTTAAACAAAGTTGTCCTCCACAAATGTTACTGAAACAAAAAATGTGACCTACTTCGGGGCCTTTGGTTGCGTCCTTTTCGGCATTTCTTGTAGAAGAAGCAGCAAGGAATCACACAGCAGGCGATGACAACCACGCAGATGATAAGACTAACAGACCCTAAGATGATTCCAAGAATTGGAATAGGGTTGGAAAGTTTTGCAAGGCTAGAACAGTTGGGCAAAAGAAAACACTTAATTATTAATCAACCTATTTATATGTCACATTATACAAAACACAATCCCAGAAAAATCTAGTTTTGAAATAAAAAGTTGTTTTCCTTATCCTGAAACTAAATTCATTTAAACGCAGGTTCAAAACAAAAACTCACCTTCCTTCACAGAGTTTTTGTTTTGATCGTCTGAAACGGTTTGTCTTGTCACTGCAGCAGTATTGTTTTTGACAGTTTCCACAGCAATATATGCCACACTGCTGAGTATTATGTTGGTTACCATCGGAGTCCACATAGCTGCTACAATCATCCGCTGTAACATAAAACACATGGTCTTGGTAAAGAGTTGTGATGGTGATGGACTTAGGAGTAAAACTGTACTGATGATAAATAAATGACTGTGTTATATTAGTTAAAAATGTTTGACTGACTGAGGAAGTTCTTAGGATTCTATGTTTGTATAAAAAAACAAAATAAAACTCACCCCATACAGCCGGGATCAGGATCACACAGAGAGCACACACAAGACTGAACAACACACCTGAAACCATAACTGCTGTGATATGGTGTAACAAGGAGTGAATCTGCCTCTGCAGTGAGAAACCTCGGTCAACCTGTCTGTCTGTCCCACCCTAAACAAGTTGTCCAACAGCATTCCTTACTTCACAAGAAACAGTCGCCACTGGATGTATGCAAGATAACATTTTAAATGATTTATCGGCAATCTGGCTATGCTTCACTTCCATTAAGCTGCACAACTTTAATTAACATGTAATTTGGTTGCAAGTTTAAGAAGATGTCTCTGTATGGTATAAAGGAAACCCTGGAAATTGAAACCAACTTGAATTGAAACCTAAGCCCCAGGTAGATCTACTACTGGTATTGTTTTCTGCATCCACCCACTCTTTATTTGATTGTTCTTTGGCACTTTCCTTATTTCCCAACTTCTCCCTCCACACCCTGAATGACTGAAGATCTAAATCAAAAGTTAACTCCAAAAGGTGTCAGATATTTTGGAGAAAGATTGTTGACATTCAAACTCAAAACGTAGGCTAGTGATCATAGTATGCATGATATAGTATGAAAAAAACATATTAGACTGTATTAGAAGTTTTAAGTATATTGTCACTACTGTCATAACAACTGATCTAGAGATATGCCTTCCTTATTTACTTATTAACATATTACAATGACATAAATACAAAAAGGTGTACACTAATATGATTCATTCCAAGCATACTTAACAACATTAACTTATAACAGGTGGGGTGGCTGAAAGACTTGACCCCTATTGAGCCATGGCATCAATAGCTGCAAGCATGGGTAATACGTTTGAGAACAATCATCATCATCATCATCATCATCATCATCATCACCCTTTTCATTATCTACATTATCTTGCATAGATTTAAGGGTGTAAAACCAGACCCTGTAGAGCAAATGTCAAGAAAAACAAACCAGAGAACAATGTGACAGTAAGTTATGCACACAAAAAAGCTAATGTATTGATCCATCTGAACATACTTGAATGGGATCAGACTGTACGAATTAATCATGGCGTCCACCTGCACAGTGGACTCTTCTCTCAGTAAAGTTAAAGCTAGCAGTCTCTCGTCATTCATATCGACAACAACCCATGAAGAAGTCTCACTGTTGATACTCTCCGCCGCTGGCTGGTTACAACCATAGACTGTATGGTTACAACATGTTGCGTTTTTGTTTGTAGTGTTTAAATAAATTGCACTTACCTGGGAGGAAAAAAATCAGACTGTGCAACGGGGGTCCAAAGTGTTACTGCAGCTTGGCATCGATAGGAGACTTACTTTTTCATAATTTGGGGAAATAGACAATGCTAAACAGAGCTCAGTAAAACTGATCGCTGGCAGCATGTTCCGAGGGATCAACCAGGCAGCAGAAATTGAGATGCACTTTCAAATTGACCCAGATACCGTTCAGGGGAGTTATAATAGAGGGGTATTGCAGATTAAGGCTATCCCTTTAAGAGAGAGGGGGAACCATAGAGGGGGAACACGTGTGTGGCGCGTCACGCATGTGTATATCGAGCGAGTGTAGTATGTTCCTGAGGCTGAACGGGAGTAGCAGAAGTGAAACGTTTTTCTCTGAAATTAGCTGTGTAATCAAGTCACAAATAAACACACCGGCCTCCCAAGCAAATGCTTGCCTGTCTGCCTTATTTAAAAGTGGGTTTCTGAACCCGAGGCCTGTCGCTCCGTCCCTGGAAGACTGCAGAGAGTCATCAGGTAGATCAGCTCCTTTCCTACTACTTCACTTTCCTCCTCACGCTTCTTTTGGCTCGGCCATTGAAGGAGTTCAGGAGGTCAACCACTCCCATTTTAACCTTCTTTCTGTATCAATTTTCGCTTGCCACCAGGTTAAGTTCTCTTTAGCAGGCACTTTCTCTGCCGTGTAGAGGGGCTACCTGTGGCAGCAAAACGTATACAAAACTCTTTTCCAGCCTTGTTATTTATACCTCAGACTGATATAAATGCATGTTAGCCAAGCTAAATCATTTATTATGAATCAATGCAAGCAGATCATGTAGCCTATGAGCACTGTAATCATTACATAGTGGTTTAAAAAACACATTTTCATCAAGATATTTTGTCCCTTACTTAACAATATATTTTACTTTCTAGGAAAAACAATGAATTTTCTTCAAAATATTTCCTTATCTTTAAAATATACCAATAACAACCAATGTAGTCAAACTTTCAAACTACACTTTATTGACCTCATTTGTTTATAAAATAAATGCAGAAAAAGTGTTGTTTAACTTGTGAAAATAGTGTGTTTATTTTAATTACATTTAAATGAATCAACTCTGGTTCAAATTGTAACAAATCATGACATAAGACATGGATACATTTTTGAGAGTATAAAATATAATGCACTATGAGAGAAGTATTCTTTAACATCCAAACAGTATACAAATAGATTAACTGAACTCCACCTCAACCAGTTACATTGTGTAAAAGCTGTCATTGTGGCAATGTTATATTTATAGAGGGAGGGGGAAGAAGAAACAAGCAACAAGCATTTTTACTTTTGATTCTGCAATTGAACGACCACTACCTAATTCTAACAGAATATATAGATTGTTTTGTATTTCTGCTTTTACTTAAGTAAAGGACAATTTAGTAAAAAAACGGCAAGCAAACTGGAAAAATCCACACTTTTCAGGATTTAGCCAGTGTGTTTCTTAACGCTCTTCATCTTTAGGGGGGTTGAAGAGGGTAAAGTTCAACGTTTGACAATCATCAGAGAAACTAGTCTTGTCATACTCTGCCATTGCAGCACAGTCTAGTCTAACACTGAGTGAGTGAGTTAAAAGGTTTAATAATTAACTCCATTGACTTGGCAGAAGAACCTTATCTACTGACTTCAGGCAGAAGGGTTTCATGTATTCTACGTCTTTTTGACCTTCTTCAATAGGATAGAAAGACACATCATGATGGTCTGAGCTCGATTGACAACAGTATGATAGCTCTTGGAGGGAAGATGATACCATGCTACACTGTACAGAGGAACCTGGCATGTATTCAGCGCACTGTGGGTAAGAATGTTGCTCCTTATTCGGTTTTAATGTTCATTGAACACATAAGTTAAAATCATACTGCGGGTCTACAACTGATGCTGCTTTTTCATGAAGGTCTTCTGTAATTGTGATGTATTTAAACACCTGAGATCATGTAATTCTCCCAGGAACAACTTTTATTTAAAGTTTAAAATAACACCAAAATATGTTCAGTTATCTTCAGGATTATAATGATGAATTTCTGCCATCTCCAACATAAAGCTCAAGTACCTGGTGAGATAAATCTGTAGAATTTGAAATAAACTAAAACAATGAGCCAAGGATGTAGTTATTATTTTAAACCATAAACCAGGGATTAAGTCATGGTTGTTAATTAATCGTAGGGTTAGTGATCTAATCCTGTCCAAATGTCAAAGTGACCTAGAGACCAATTGCCTGATGATGTATGTGGGGAAAAGGCCTATGTGAAAAGCTTTGGATAAAATCATCTGCCAAATACATAAACATGTTAAAATACACAAACCAAAGACACAATAACTAATACTTTGACTTTAGAGCATTTTAAATACTGGTTTCAAATGCTGCACCAACAATTATTTATTAATTCTGAGATTGTAAGAGGAGTACATGTAAAGTATTTAAAAACTTAACTGACGCTTAAATATAACTTGTTCTTTATTTTAAATGTGTTTGTGCATTACGATCTGAAGTTAAACCATGATTTAATCATAAAAATGTATTGTATAATGTAACTTTTATAAATGCTCTATCACAAGTGTGTTTTTCTTCTACCCGCAGGTGGAGTTCGTTGGACGAGCAGCTGTAGACCAGCCCCGCTTCTGACAGCCTCTCCTGTTCGTGCTCTCATAGATGACAAGATCAGCATTAGAGGACACTTCCTGCCCCCACGGTGTCCCGTCACAGTGTGTGCACAAATGCAAAGTGATGATGGTGACCTGTGGGAAGCATTTGCTCATTTTAATACAAATTCAGATGGGACTGTAAACTGTGAGTCAAATTTTCCTTGTAAAGTATGTTCTGTGTTGGGTTTTATGTTTTAACTTTGTATTATTGTTATTGCAACAAGAGTAAGCATTATTCTCTTGGAATATTTAAAATATATATATATATATACAATAGATATATGTATATATATATATATATATATATATATTGTATTTGTTCCCCTCTTACCTCATGTGCTGTTTACCAATCTAAATAACTTTGGTGTTGCAGGTGAATGCAAAAATATTTTTATTTGATTTTGATGCACTGTCATTTTGAACATTGAATCTGAATTAACTAACAGGTTGGTGATGTTCTCCCTTTTCTGTCTTTCTGTCTCCTTCATAGTGACCAGGGATCCTTCAGTCGGGGGTTCATATTTGGGCTGTGAGCCAATGGGGTTGCTATGGGGACTGCAGCCGGCTCCGGGGGCCAGAGAAGGCTTGAGGCAGGTGATGAAACAAGCTCCCTGAGAGCTTGATATATAACAACTACCTAAGATGTGGCTGTCATTTATTTCACATATTCAGCGTTCAGAGTTTAAACAAAATTAAATATGATATCAAATCAATATCTCTACAGTAGATGGGTGATCTGACTGAAAATGTGGTCTTTCTTACAGGCTGAGAAAAAAAAAAGTAGAGACTCCATACGTAATGCTCATGTCCTTACTGAAGGGCCATGTTTCACCCAGTGAGAGACCCAGCACCGAGCTCGCTGCTGTAACTGCTGAGCGCTGGTACATGGCACCAGGCGTACGGAGAATAGAGATTCGCCAGAACGGAGTTGTCGGGACGTTGTTTTTACCGCCTGGTGAGCACGATTTTTTACTTTCCCCACAAAATGTAAAAGCTGCAATGGTTCATGTCTGGCCACATGGTGTCGCATTTCACCTCTAATATTGGGTCCATGCAAGTGTTTGACATTTATTTTTAATGTATTATCTATTCACATACTGTTGCTAATTTTCTTATCTTAATCTTTTTATTTATTAGCCTATATTTCTGCCCATATTTTAGACATCTCACATTTGTAATACTGCTGTGGACAGACCTCTGAACAGCACCTACTGTCTTAATTGTAACTTTTGTTCTTTCTTGTGAAGCATTTTGTGAATTTTATTTCTGTGAAAGGTGCTATACTAAATAAACGTAATACATATTAATATTATTATTATTACTGATTTCCTGCAGGCCCAGGCCCATTTCCAGCCATGTTGGACCTGTGGGGAATGGGTGGAGGACTGGTAGAGTACCGCTCCGCCCTTTTTGCCTCCAGGGGCTATGCTAGCTTCTCCCTTGCCTACATAGGGCACAAAGATTTGCCTGGTCCACAAAATTTGATCAATGTTGGTGATCCATATTTCAAAGTAAGATTACAATTATTCAACTTAACCATCATTTCTTTATTTCTGCATCATGTATACATGTCACTTGTCATTCCCTTATAAATATTATTTGTTTTTGTTTTGTTTGGACAGTCAGCGTTTCAACTACTTCAAGATCATCCTCAGGTCTATCCCGACAGAATTGGGATCATAGGACTCTCCTTTGGAGTCTACCTGACTCTCCGGCTTGCCAGTCATTCTGGCATCAAAGTAAGTGAGAAATAACTTTTTCTGTAGTTTGATCAATACATAGATCCATGCAGATGAAAGATCACACCTGTAAATAAATGTACTATATGCCAAGCAATAAAAAGTTATTTTTGACTCTAAATATGTTTGCTAAGTTCACGTTGACTTTTAACAATTATTGTTCTCCCCTCCAGCCTTCCTGTTTGATTTGTATCAATGGACCAGCAGGAAGCACCATCAAGCTCGCAGACGCAGATGGCAGGACTGAACAAATGGAAAAGTAGATGTTAAATAAATATGCAATTTGTAGGAAATTATTTTCAAGACATCACTAAGGGATTATTGCAGTAATCCATGTGACGGGTTTAGCATCAGGAGTGAAAGTCTTTAAAGTAGTCTTAAGTGCTAGTTTTAGTCTCTTAAATAGTCTCTGGTGTTAACCAATTACATTACATTTGAGAGGCAGAATATGTGTATCACAATCAAATATTGTTTATTTCTCATAACTGATTAAAAAAGTATATAAGTTGTACTGGTCTTTGTTAACTTGTCCTTTTAGTGACCAGAAATATTGGACGTATGATGATCAGGGCAATGTGAGTTTCAGAGCCGTCTCCTTGCCTGCCAACCTTTCCCCTGAGAGCAAAGTGAAGGTGAACCCACCACACATGTTTAGGGTGCACACTTAGCTTACATAATCAAATCAATTTGCTTTTTAAAGTTTTAATTTGAGAATTACATCTTGTTTTTTTGCAGTTAGAGCATCTCACATGTCCATTAATGTACATAGTGGGTGAAGATGACTTGAGTGCTTCAAGTGTAGAAAATGCGAACCTGGTAAGTAACTCAATATTACAAATTATAATTGTTGGAAAGCAAGTAATGCTTAATGCTTTTTTATTGGTCAACAGATTGAGGAGACCCTGAGTGCTGCAGGTAAATCCCAGCTGCTTACACGGTTGTCGTACCCTGGTGCCGGTCACCTGATTGAACCGCCTTACACGCCAAATTCAAGAGCGTCCCTGTGGAGCGTCAAACCACAAAAACGTAAGCCCTATCACAGAGCTTTATTTTACATTGAGCCTTGTCTTATTTTATACTTGTTTTCATACCAGGTTAAATATGAGACTGGTTATTGTAATATAGAGTATGTAACTACTAATGAAAGTATTAATTATCATACTGCTGCTTATTTTGTTGTTCCTGCAGTGGTCACTCTGTGGGGGGGTCACCTTGCACCCCACGCTGCTGCTCAGGAAGATTCCTGGAAGAAGATCCTGGAATTTATGGAAACTAACCTCAGACATTGAATTGTTGTACGATATTATCTCAGTCTGGCTTCAGATGCTCCACATCAATAATGCTGAGGAACCCCTTGAAGTAGCCTCAATGGTTTTTTTGTCATCATGTATACATGTATTTTATAACTTATATAATACTAAACATTCTTCAAAAAAACGGCAGGTTATTCTGTAAAGAACATTTTTTTAATGTGCATACATGCTAAATAATACTTTTTTTATTTTGGATTGAAGAGGTCATGACATGCTGAGGTAACCATGGCAATGAGTGCGATGAACTCTTTGAAGTCGATCTCCAGGTCTCCGTTCTGGTCGAGGTCCGTAAAGAGCTGATCCAAAATGTCATTCTCGTGAATGTTCTGTTCAGCAGAAACATAAAATGAAAGAGAAACATTTTAAGTAAATCTAAATTATTTACGAGTCTAAAAGTCTTTACATATGTCAGTGACAACTTGTGGTTGAAATGCTTCTTTTACACCAGAAAACACATTTGTTGGATAGGATCGAACTTGTTTAACCCATAGGTGGTCATAAAGTAATGTTTGTTAAATGTCTGTACAACTTCCATATTGTAAAATGGTCACCAATGCAACATTCAAAACATGTCTACATGCTTTGTTAGCTTTAAACTTTATAAGTATCTAAGGCTTGACCTAAAATGTTGTTAGTTGATTTATACTTGTAAAAATGATCTGAATCTGCAAAGCATCTAAATTATAAAATAAATGCAGTGGAGTAAAATGTGCAATATCTGCCTCCAAATTGTAGGGAAATAGATGCATAAAGTAGCAGAAAATACTCAACTAAAGCACAAAAACCTCAGAAACACTACTAAGCTAAATTCCAACCATGCTCAACATATCCATTTATTACATTTACAATTATACACATCGTAACTGTTGCACATTGGAAGGTATATATGTAAAAAAAACAAAGGCTTGAGTATCTTTAGTAAAAAGTTGTTGAGTTTATAATATATAATTCCATAACTTACCATTATGAAATGACTCATCTCATTGTTGATGAGCTCTTTAAGCTCTGTCTTCTTCAGCTTGCACTTTTTACCCGAGTATTTGTGGAAAACTTTGATGATGTTGATCATGCTACCCTCCAGCTCTGACATATCTTCATTTAAGGCCTGCAACAAATAATTCAAACAAAATCCCATTACACTACTAGAAGAATGTTTTACCCACATCTTAGGGCGTTGTGATAGACAACCATTTTTCTCAGTTTTTATACATTTAATTACATTGTAACGTGATGCATCCACTTATAATATTATATTGTATTTTAGAAATATAAACTCTAAACATTTAGTCTTTCTTACCTCCATCTGAAGAAACACCTCTGTCTTGTAGGGATCGTAAGTGGGAATGATGACTTGTTCAGTATTGTGTCGACTGCCTCGCCCAGTTTACTCTGACCACTCAACTGTATTGATCCACCACACCAAGCTTCCTTAACTGCCATGCCCTACGTAATGCACGACTAATGGATTTTAGTGGTCAGGGCCTTGTGCAAAAAGCCTTTTCTCTTAGAATCTATAATTTCTGAAGTCAAGTTCCAACATTTAGCCTATAGTGTGTGTATGTAATCCAGTTTATGAATTGCATAATTGGTGCTTTTCCCTGTTTTCTGTCATGCTATTGTGGTCTGTTTAGGCGACTGTTTGGGAGGGTGTGTTGAGTCCTGCAGATAATGTCCACTTGCAGATTCAGTGTACAGTTTTGTGTTTGTTTTTTAAATCAAAAACCACCTTTATTTAACAAAGATAACTGTAGAGCTACAAGTGACACTTTTGAGAATGTGTTCATTGCTTGTTTCTGATGCTCTCCAGTCGGCAACACTTCTATGGGCAAAAGTAAGGTTTAATAATAAATAAATGTAAGCAAAAATTGCCAATACATTTACTGCGGTCAAGCCAGCCTCCACTTCGGGAAACACAGGCAAGCCAGCCCGCACATTATATTGCGGTGCGCGAATATCCTATGCATTACGGTAGAGGCCTGGAAAAACTGCCTTCAAAATAAAAGCGCTTACTCGGTCAATAACAAATATACCTAAAAAACATACCAATCATATATACTGGAGCTTAAATTAAGAAATATGTACTATATAATGTGATCAATAATTATTTAAAACAAACTACGTATAACTACCACATTATAACTGAGTGAATGTAAAACTTAAGGAGTTTCAAAATAAAAGACCTTTGAAGTCTCATATATGAGCTATCGTCCCGCTGTTTTCAGATAATAATAATAAAACAAAAACTCTCCAGTATCAAAGACTTATTTCACTTCAGGGTGATAGCAGGACACCCCATCTAGTCACTCAGAGAAAATCAGGACAATCTGATGTACAGTTTCAAAATAAAATACCTTTGAAGTCTCATATATGAGCTATCATCCCTCTGTTTTTAGAAAAGAATAAATCAAAAACTCTCCAGTATCAAATAATTATTTCACGTCAGGGTGATAGCAGGACACCCCATCTAGTCACTCAGAGAATATCAGGACAATCTGATATACAGTCTCAAAATAAAAGACCTTTGAAGTCTCATATATGGGCTATCGTCCTTCTGTTTTTAGATAAGAATAAATAAAAAACTATCAATTATCAAAGATTTATTTCACTCCAGGGTGATAGCAGCACACCACAACTAGTCTCTCAGAAATTATCAGGACAATCCAATGTACAGTTTCAAAATAAAATACCTTTGAAGTCTCATATATGAGCTATCATCCCTCTGTTTTTAGATAAGAATAAAACAAAAGCTCTCCAGTATCAAAGACTTCTTTCACTCCAGGGTGATAGCAGGATACCCCATCTAGTCACTCAGAGAATATCAGGACAATCTGATGTAGAGTTTCACCCTGAAGTGAAATAAGTATTTGATACTGGAGAGTTTTTGTTTTATTCTTATCTAAAAACAGAGGGATGATAGCTCATATATGAGACTTCAAAGGTCTTTTATTTTGAAACTCTACATTAGATTGTTTTTTTTGTTTTAAAAAAAAAAAATTATTGATCACATTATATAGTACATATTTCTTAATTTAAGCTCCAGTATATATGAATATGTTTGGTATGTTTTTTAGGTATATTTGTTATTGACCGAGTAAGCGCTTTTATTTTTAAGGCAGTTTTTCCAGGCCTCTACCGTAATGCATAGGATATTCGCGCACCGCAATACAACGTGCGGGCTGGCTTGACTGTAGTGATGGGAATTATGGCTCTTTGAAGGGAGCCGGATCTTATGGCTCCGTTCCTTTCAAAGAGCCGTTCAAAAGAGCCGTTTTTTTAAGGTTACTAGGTTTATCTGCAAAATAATCACCAGGATAATGATTGACTGTATTGCCAGACCTAATGTCAATAATCGGCATTGTAAACATGACACAAGGTGGCGCCATATCCATGTCATCATGTCAGTGAATGTACTTTGAATTTACCCTCTGTATGTGTTAAGTAAATAAAGTTGCCTTGCCTTGAATGAAATTCATGCAACTCTTAATATTAGATACTGTGTTTTTAAGTGGCGATGGAGATTATTTGTTGATCCTGCTTTAAAGGATATTTTGCCTTTACAAATGGTGCGCTTTATCACTGCCTGGGTTTTGGTTGAAGTGAATCCAAATGCTGCTGCGTTTTCGCGTTTGGCTCATTTACCATCCGAAAAACACGTTGTCTACCTGTCCTGTACCACTTGTTATGACTTCTCTCTCTCGCGTATTCCGTTAAGACCCACCCCATCTCACTCCTCGTGCTGAAACCTACCAAACAGAGTAGGGGCGGATCTTCACAGAATACGTTTGGGGAACAAAATCAAGCTTTTTAAAAGGCGAGTGGATTTTGGCAGGCAGTGAGTGCGGACCAACGATTGAACGATAACAAGAACGGCTCTCACAAAGTAGGACTCGGTTCCCCTCGTTCGTACCAAAGAGCCGTTCAAAAGAATCGGCTCGTTCGCGACCGACACATCACTACTTGACTGTGTTTTCCGAAGTGGAGGCTGGCTTGACCGCAGTATACATTTAACTCAAAACACCTGTGTCTGGAGGTTGAGAGAGTCTCTAACCAAAGCACTACAAACGTTTTATCCTGCAAAGCATTTTCTCAAGAAATTAAAGGATGATTCAAATATAAATTGTTGGCTACTTCTTGAACAACTCAATATGAAACCACGCCCCACCTTTTCTGGTGGTGAACTGATGTCTTCAAATTTAAAAGTGACATCTTTCGACTTGATTTTTATGAACATTTGGGCACTTTACCTATGACAGGGAACTTGAGGAAACAAACTGCATAAAGAAATCGTTTAAACACAAATGTTAAACGTCCCATAACAACCCTAGTTAGGTAGACAACAATCTACAACCTTTATATGTACAGTATTATATGTCTACATACAACCTAATTTCTATCAAAACAAGCCAATGTGCGCACTGCTCCGAGATCGAAGCTTGAAATTCCCATGTGCATTTGAACGCAGCGCGGCATCACTTCCTGTTGTCTGCTCCTTGTAAAAAGTACCGTAATATCTCTTCGGTTGTGCGCCTGTCTGCACCTTTAGTTTGCCAGCCTAGATGTGAAGGACCGTCCGCACTTCCTTCAAGAGGAAACTCGCTCTGACGTAGAGAAACCGGAGCGGTGCGGTAATTCTGCTGTTTTAGTGAAACTGTGCGTTCTCTCACATTCCTGTCATACCGAAATAACCGCGTTTGGTGACTTTAGGACGAACAGAATAAACACAGCCACGGTGAGCGACAGACGAAAGGGTAATAAGCGGTGTGTAACCTGGTTTTAGGTAAGCTTTCAATCATTTCTCAATGTTTTATTTTTCTCTGCCGTTTTCAATGTCTTTGCTTCGTTATATAATCTCATATGAAACCCTAGCAAATCCTGTTCGACAGGATGTCAAGAGCAGAAATGAGCAGATTGTCCATGCTTTTTTTTTTAATATATGTTTTCATTTGTGTTTATATTGTGTTGACCTTTAATGTACTACACTACGTAGCTCTACAAATTACCCCCCTTGGCAAATAAGTTTTTTTTTAAATGTAAGTGAAATTGACTTGAATGGTAAAGTTGTGTGACGGTAAAATACAAACGAACTACATTAGAGGCCCTTTTACATTTCCAGAAAACATATTTACTGTAATATTCCACTGACATGACTAACCGCAAACACCACTGTGTAGTGCCAATTGTCATTTTCTACACACCCCAGTGTGTTTTATTGTATTTTGTTTACCCTGATAGTATTTTATTATAAGATAATGTACAGTTTTGTTTTCCATACTTTTAAATAATCATTTGGAAATGGAGATACCTGAAGTGTTTAGAGAGGATAGTGATCTGCATAGGTGTTATGCATTTCAGCAGAGATACTGTGGTTCACATGCAAAAGACCTGAGGCCACTCTCTCCTCCCTCACACACTCGTCTTTTTTCAGATATGTCCTGTTTTCATTTTAAGGCTATAATTAGCTTGTTATGTGCAAAGTGTGACCTGCCTCCTCTCTCTTTTTCTCTCTCTCGCACACGTTGACTAAACCCTCTCTTCTTTTCTTTCTGCTCAGGCATGGCTGATCTGCTGAGGCTGCTGCTCCGGGTGGCAGAGAAAGCGGCTAACGTTGCTCGTGTCTGCAGGCAGGAGGCTCCCCTCTTCCAGCTCCTCGTACAAGAGAAGACCGGAGATGACAAGAACAAGAAGTTCGTCCAGGACTTCAAGACGCTGGCTGACGTGGTGATCCAGGAGATGATCCGGCATGATGTTGGTGTTAAGGTAGGAAATGTCTGGACTAAAGTATGGGCTGTCATAATCCACTGGTGCTGGTCTGTAATCATGTCCTGTCTCTTCTTTTGGTCAGTTCCCTGAGATGGCAGACTTCATCAATGGAGAGGAGTCCAACAAGTTTGAAAATGGGCTAGGTAATGACTTGATATCTTACTTAACACAGTACATGTTCATGTTCTCTTTTCACTTTTGGATGTTAATGACTTTAAGCTCAAAGCGGACTTTAGTTTGTCAAAATCACAGTGGAGTTTGGACAGATAGTGATTGTATTAAAAAATAATTACAAGTTAAGAGCTGATTATTTTGGTCGACACTGAGTCCAAAAACTTGACCTGGCGACCGACATGTCCTACAGACACACAATTCCCTGCATGTCAGTTTGATTTTGGTTTAAAAAATGTATTTTAGGATTTGCAACATGAAAGTATCAACAAAGCAGTACCTTCATTATGACCTACTTTGTTAATCCTCTTGTGATATGCCCTATCTTGAAAAATCATGTTTTGACCTCATCTTGAATAAATTGATGTGAGGGCCGTAACAACAAGTAATTATTTGGTCTGTTAAATGTTAAAAGGATTGAAAAAGATTCACACAATCTCAATTTCAAAAAGCCCAACCCGATAACTTCTCATGGTGTTTTTTGTCAAATTATTTATCTCTGTAATATCAAAAATATATTTACAGACTTGGAATTAAGGAAATTGTTCTGCCCTTTTAGCCCAAATGATTAATCAAGAAAATTGTCTTCAGATTAATCAAATGATGAACTGAAACAGATAAGCTGATAACAACTAAAACAATCTGGTGAGTGTCGTGGGCTGCAGGAATATAGAAGCTTTTGTCTGTTAATTATATGATGGAGGATTAAAGATTGAAGGAAATAATAATCACTCAACCTTCATTTGGATGGACCTAATACTTGAAACATTATAAACACTTGAGTAAATCATCTGCAGTTTAACCTCAAAGTCCAACGTCTTTCATCTAAAATAATCAGAACAAAAAGCTAACACATCAACTGTCAAAAAGCTAACACATCACTGTCCAAATATTTAAGCTCACTGTGTAAATATTTCAATAATCAAAGGAGTACTTGGTTTGCTCCCTAACAGGAGAGAGTGTGACGGTGACAGTGTGCGCTACAGAGGAGGACACCGCGGCTCTGCTGGCCTCCGTGCTGGACGGCGACCACACCGCGGCCTCTCTGCTGGCCCGGGCCATCCACCAGGACCCGGCGAGCATCCAGGCCGACACCGACGGTCTGACGGTCCCCCTCAGCCCCTCAGAGCTCGGCATCTGGATCGACCCCATAGGTGAGCTGCTGTGTTCCTGTCTGATGCATTTATCCAGAAAGAACAGCAGAGATAATAACTGATTTATTCTTTTTTTTGCATTAAGATGCCACCAGCCAGTACATAGAGGGCAGAGAGGAGGTGCTGGAGGAGGGCCGCCTGTTTCCCTCAGGTCTGCACTGTGCCTTGGTCCTGATCGGGGTTTATCTCCGCAGCACAGGCGAGCCCGTCATGGGCGTCATCAACCAGCCGTTCAACTACAAAGACCCAGCAGGTGGAGGGTGAGTTTAAAAAACATCTGTAATACTTCTTCTTTTTACATCGTATGGTTTCTACACTGTTCTGGTTCCCTCTCCGCCAAAGCAACGGCCTCAAAGTCTGAAAAGTGAAGCTAATGCTTAAATTACTTAAATCTGCATCCTTTATAGTATCTAGCGTGGGGCAACTTCAATAGCTGCAAAATAAAAGTCAGATTGAATAGAAGTCTATGAGAAAATGACCCTACCTCTCACTTGATTGATTACCCCAGTAAACATTTAATTGAGTAGTTTATGGTCTCGATTGCTAGTTTAAAGTCTTCTTCAATACAGCATGATGTTCATTTTCCAAGTAATGGTCCCATTTAAAGTCAAACAGACGATACAGGTGGCTACCATGGCAGTGTCCGGTTTAGTTATTGACCATGTTTTAATCTTAAAACTTTTTCACAGTGGGTTTACAGTTTTAAAATGTTGGTCCCCTAAAAACGTTTTGTTAATCTTTCAGTTGTACTTATGTGATTACCTGTCCATATAGTCTATGCTCTCACTGCTCGTATGCAGCAGACTCTAAAAACGTACTGTTCCTGATCTGCACTAGATGTCAGACAGAGAGTAAAGTACATTATTCTCACCCTAACACTCATTATTTGTGTTCACAGCTGGAAGGGGAAGCATTTCTGGGGGGTGTCCTGCGGCAGCATCAATGTCTGCTCAGAGACCCGGCCTAAAGCAGGACCTGCGGGGGGGCTGTCTGCGGTGCTGAGCTCCAGTGAGAAGCCGGTGGTAAAGGAAGCCCTGACCTCACTGTGCGGCCCGGACAAGCTGATGTTCGCTTCTGGAGCCGGATACAAGATCCTGTGTGTCATCCAGGGCCTGGCTGACGTCTACGTCCTGTCGGAGGGGAGCACCTTCAAGTGGGACTCCTGCGCCCCTCACGCTCTGCTCCGGGCCCTCGGAGGGGGGGTGGTGGACCTCCACAAGTGTCTGCAGTCCAGCTCAGGAGCAGAGGCAGAACTGACCTACCACCAGCCCCGCACTGAGTGCAAAGGAGCGGACCGCTGGGCCAACCATGGCGGCCTGGTGGCGTACAGAGACTGTTCCCAGATCAGCCGCATCATCGCCCCTCTGAAAGGCAAGCTGTAGCTGAACCAGCCAGGATGTAACCAACACAAGCTGAAGCAGCTGTTGTTGCATATATGATCATATTCTTATTTTCTGTATACGTAGAAAGAGAAGGATAAGGGTGCAGGAGGAAATATTTTAAACACATATTATATTGTCTTGTTTTAAATGAGATATATTTGCAATAGAGCTGCAAGTATTTTCTTACGATTAATCTGCCAGTTATTTTCTAGATTAATCATTCGGTCTATAACGTGTCAAAAAAAATCTACATCCCAGTTTCTTTAATGTCTTGTTCCGTCAGTCCAAATCCCAAAGATATACAGTTTAATGTAATATAAAACAGTTAGGAAAATATATCACTATATTCGAGAGGCTAAAATGGCTTTTCTGACATTTTTGCATGAAAAATTACTATAAAAACTAATCGTTGCAGGTCTAGTTTTCAAGTGTTTCCATAACAAGATAAACATCTGGTCTGGGCCAAATATGTTTTGGTTGTGGAAATTCAATGGGAAAACCCATGCTAATCAATCAAAACCAATATCATTTAAAGATTCCTGTCTGGCTCTTTAGATTTTGTCAATTTGTCAAGGAAACCTTGTGTCTTTTTGATAAAAAAGAAAAAGTGGAGGTCAAATGGGGGACTGACAGAAAAAGATTTTCATCATGACAGATGAGTAGGACTTGTTATGTGGGCCAATGTGACAGACAGTTCAGACAATCACAAGACTCTTTCAGGCAGTTTCACTTCTACCATTAACCGGCTGTAGCTCTGTGACAATCCAACATGTCAGCTTCCTCATGGCAGCTACAACACTGTAAGCCTTTTTGTGCATCTAGTTTAGCTCAGACCTTGTTGAGCATTTATTATAATTATGTAAGCTGTGTAAAAGTATATATACATTTGCTTAAAGACAGGTAATCATGCTAAAGTTAACAGAAGGAACAGTGCTCACTGCTGGACAGCTGAGGAACACTTCACTGCCAGAGGAACGGACATCACAAGATGCCTCCGACTCGTCTGAGGGAATTATCTTGGATTCAAAGGAGTTTAAATTGCAGTTATAATAGTCCTATCACGTTTTTTTTCCAGCCCATCTAGTCTTAAGGGTTATAATAAGTCAAGAGAATCAAATTGCCCCATTCACAGTAATCTGCACCTCTCTGAAACAACTCCTTTTAAGGAGCAGACGGCAACCTGCCCTCTCTCCATGGCCATAGCACCATGAGTCAATAAGGTCAGAGGATGGAAATTCCATATGAGGTAAAACAGTGACAAAGAGTGCTTTTCGGGTAGGGATTACAGTCAATTAAATATTAAAGGATGAGAGGTTTATAAAGTTATCTTAAAGGTCCCATGTCATGGCCATTTCTACTGATCATAATTCCATTGTTGAGGTCTACTAGAATAGATTTATATTGTGCAATTTTCCAAAATCACATTGGTTTCATACAGCATCTCTGTATAGTATGTGTATTCACTCTCTGTCCTAAACGGCTTGTTGGAGCTCCTGCCCCCCCCCCCTCCCTGTGAGCCCAGTGGCCGTCTGCGAGACAGCGAGACACAGCGAAACCCAGGCCGAAACCAGCCCGAGCACACACACACACCCGCAGCCTGGCTGGGAGTCTGTGTGTGTGTGCTCACACACAGACTCACAGCCTCGCCGCGTCCCGCCGTCTCAGGCTGAGAAATCCGCGGAGCTGCAGCTGAGAAAAGATTGAGTGTGTGTAATGGACCAATCCGCAGACTTAACGTAACGGCTCTGCGGATTGGTCCAACACACACACACACACACACGGGTAATAACCAGAAAAGCATGACATGGGACCTTTAAGGAATAAGCAGATTCGTATCAAGATGTTTTTAATGATCACTTTGTCACTTTCATTGTCACTGTGTATGCTTAAAATGGTATGACTTTGATATGCATTGTTGTATAACTGATAAATAATTTGTGTAAAGGAACAGAATCACTTGTGCATAATAGGAAATCCTCTTTTATTTTTGAAAACCAGAGAAAGCGGGGGAAAGAAACCCAACAGTGATATTTTCAAACTGTTTACCAGCCAGGGAACTCGCCTCACAATTCCCTACAAAAAACCCTGATGATTGTCAGACATTTTTTGCAATACTTCTGCATAATCTGTTAAAACTTGGAAAAGAACAAAATGTGAAGTGTTGGCTCTTTCATTAACCTCTTGGACTTTAACCTGCTACCTTTAACACACAGCCCGTACATTCTGGAGTCGAGGTGTGGAGAACAATGCACTCTGCTCAGCGTGGTTTCAGCTGGGTTTCCCAGACAGGGACTGAATTACATTTTGACGGTTTCTTTGAAATTGTAAATAGGAACTGAGGTTATCAAGGCCTAAATGAATATGTAAGATGAATCAATGCATGTGGTTGATATCAGTTCTGATGATTTATTTCTGATTATCACTATGAATTTTACCCCAGTCCAAATGTCAAAACTAGTTTAAGGCCATTACATTTTTCTGACTTAACCTATAACCTTTCTTTTATGCAATAACACTTTCCCCCAGAATAATATTTGTTTCATTTTTAAAAGGGGCCATTTTAGTATAATGACTCAATCCATGTCTGGGAAACTGATCCAATGAGTAAAGAGAAAACTATTTGACACGTGAAAAGAAACATGGCAAACTTAATGACCTGCTTCGATGAGCTCTAGCAACATTTGCAACAAAGATTCAAACCACCATTATGCAATCTATTGCCAGAATATAATTCTGACACTTGTGCTACGCCAGAGCTTGATGGTCGTGCAACTTAAATGTTTTTTCAATAATTTGACACTCATTTAACATTCAGATTCTACCCAAAAAGAATTGTTATTTGCAAATGAGCTGTTAGCTTAGCGAGCTACACCTCCTACTCAGCTGCAGCTGGAGGAGGCTGTTAGGCTAAATCACTGATGACTGTTCAAAACCCTGCTGATGTTATTACAGGGGCGGATGTGCAAATTAACACAAGAAAACATTGAAAATTGTACTTTTCATCAACTGTCATTATAAAAAATAGCCTTTATCAAATACCTTATCACACATAATTGCCATTTATCTATACTCTCACAAACTTCACATATCAGGTGTAAACAACATCTGTTTTCTTAAATTAACCGATGATGAAAAGAAAATTATTTCTATGCAAGAACCATACCAAAAAACTAAACCAAAAGTACAACAAATTATAATTTTCTGACCCTTCAAGTTGTCAACAGTATATCAGCTTAATTAGATTTTCTGTGCACTTGTGACCTTGACATTTTAAAAGATTAACCACATCTAGGTGCAAGGTTTAACCAGAATAAAACACCTGTTTAATGCACATGACAGCAAAACTAAGAGCCACATTATTTATTCCTTAAACTGAAAGCTAAAATGACACTGCAGGATGAAACAAGATCAACAAATTAAATAATTTGAAACGAGCTCAAAACGTTTAACAATGTTAATTTGAATTGTTATGGTTTTACAGAGTTATCTGTGTGGGGTTGACTGGGTGAAAGTCATTACAGAAGAAATTAAAAGAACAATGCTGAAGTGAAAAAAAGGGAATTGACAGCATTGTGAGTTTTTATACAGGTCAGGCTTGTTTCAGTTTTTGCAAATTAGCACATTTTCTGGTGCAAAATTAAATACATTTAAGACTCAAATGACTGTTAAACTTTGTAAATCGTTGAAACTGTGGCAGACTTTTCACTCTGCGTGGTTTTACAGTGAATCAAGTGGGGGCAGTGCAGAGTAGTGTAAGTATGTGGTCTTTAAAACAGAAATGAATCCCTGGTGAGGAATAATATCAGCATTTCAAAATGTCAAGGTGTCACTTATAAAGTTTTGAATCAAAGCAGCTTGAGTTCAGTAACACAGCTGAAGTCTTTCCTGCTTAACTTGTTCAATAATAACAACATCAACCTGGAGCTGAAGCACTGAACAGCGGGAACATTTAGATTTGGATCAGTATTTCAAAGCAAAAATGATTCATTTACCTATTCAGGTCAAGATTTGAGATCTCTGGCTCAGGGGCTTTTTGAAGAAGTTTATAAATGCAGGATGTGTATCTCTGGTAACTTCCATCCAGTTTTAGCATTTCAAATTCTGCACAAACGGCCTAATCTTTAATAGTCATACATTTGAAAAGATTTGTAACACTCACCACTGAAACTGGACTAGAGAACACAAGTTTGGAATTTTTTTTTACTTTGACCTTTCATCGAGTTATGCTTACTGATATTTAATAATTTGTCTGTAGGCACACTACCAGAGATACACACCATACTCTCAGATCTTACTACAGCTCACCAATACAAATGTTGCAACTGCCCAAATTTGACAATTTCCTGCGCTTTTTGTAAATTTGGTTCAGATGTGTTGGGTTTAACTGTTTTTTGAAATCGTTCTTAAAATAATATGTTGGCAAGGTGCAACATGAGTAACCACTGACAGTGAAGCTGCCCACATCATTATCATCATCTTAATCACATGATCCATTACTCAATGTAACCCTCTATTCAAGTGTCACTCACTCCGCTGGGAACCAACGTCTTCAACTAACCTTCTGAAAAACATCAACAAAAGTGAGAAAACTGAAGTGTTAAATTTCAGGTGAATAAATCATGCATTGCAGGATTTGGCAGGAAATGATGAAAGAAAAATGTTTTATTACAGCATCCTGATAAGGATATCAATGCCAAGGCTACAGTTGCCTTAAAGACCAACGGAAATATAAGGTGAGATGAGAGGTAAAGCACCGTCACAGCGTCACCTCTTCCACCCTCCTTCAATACTTCAGATCACACGCTGCAGTCTCTCTCCTCTGGCAGATCTGACCCATGAATTATCTCTGGTTCAGATCTTGGCATGCCAACAGGCAGGCGAGACACACATGGCCATTATTTACCGAGTCCCTGTGTTGCTATGTTGTTTCTCCGAGAGGTTAACAGCCTTCACCTCTGGAAGGGTTTGCGGACCTTCTTCCTCCTCCGGGGGGGTTTGCCACCCTCGGCCCACGTCTCGCTGGGCTCCGGTCGCTGAGCCCCCGGCATGAAGAAACCTGTCTGGCTCGGGGGAGGAGAGAACGGGGGCGCTGCAGCCCCAGGTGGGTGATGAGGAGGGGGGCCCGGGGGGAAGAAGCCCCCGTTGCTAGCCATGTCATTAGGAGGTCCGCCCTTGAAGATACGGTTGAAGAAGTCCTGTAAATCTGCAGGGTTGGTGGGAGGTGTGGCGCTCTCTGAGGGCGTCCTGGAAGTCAAAGTTGGAAAGTTTAGATGTTTCGTTCTATTGAGATATCGTATTCTGCAATATTGGAGGTATTAAAGGTCACCTATTATGCAAAATCAAATTTTGTATGTCTTTTATACATAAATATTTGTCCCCACTGTGTTAAGAGATTCGGAACATTTCAGAAAAGTTCTCTCTCTTTTTGTCCTGATCCATCTGTCTGAAAATGAGCTGATCCAATTTTGGCCACTTTATGATGTCATAATGTTTTTTTGGCTTGTGTAACCATTAGCCAATAACCAACCAAAGTAACACCCCCCCCACCTTATCACCTGAATCTCCTCCGAGAGCACCATTGTGTTTTTTAAACCAAATATCTCTCAGAGGGGCGTGGCCAGCAGCAGCTCATTAGCATTTAGAGCTACAGATACAGTATCATCACTTAAAACAGGGCTGAAACAGAGGGGTTTATGGCATGCTAGAATGATCTGTTTGGTATTTGGAGCCAAACCCTTCAGAGACAGGTTTTGTTTATATCTGATACCTATAAAATATTGTTGAAAAAGAGTATGATAGGGGACCTTTAATGAAGAACAGTTTAATCTGCCACTGGTATTTACTTTTTACTTTCAAACAGAAAAACTATGGCTGGCAAAATGTAGGCCTGAATGGGGTCAAGGAGGATGAACTTGTAAATGTTTTAGACCGAAAACAAACACTTGAAAGGACATACCTTTGTCGTGTGGAGGTGGTGTTGTTCTTTGCACCGAAAGAGATGTGATAGGGCACACGGTGCGTGTCAGGAGAAATACCTATTCTTTGGCAACCTGCCCATTCTGAAACAAGACAGTGTCACAAAAAGTTACATGACCGAGAGGAAAAGTACAACCAGGAAATGCTTTGAAGCTTTTCTATAACCTGCCATTACAAGTAGGGCAGACATATTAACAGTATATAACAGTATAATCGATTAGCAAAAAAAGTGCTCTTTCTTTAAAAATCTTAAACTAATTGATTAGTCTTTGGAGCACTGTTACTGCCGAGAGGAGCAGATGATCTTTAGAAGAAGCTGATGTTCACCTGTAATGTCATACACCTTGCAATCCATAAAGGCAAAGTATGTGATGCGTAGGCCCAGCATGCTGGACTCGGCCCACAGGTCCCCTTCCTCGGCACTATGGCAACGGTTGCATTCAGCACAGAACCGGGCCTCAGCAGGTTCACGATCCATCTCGAACCGCCTGCACAGACACAGGTCACGAAGGCAAAGGTTATGAAAGTTGACCACATAATACACGATTCAGCTGTGTGTAATACATAACGTTAGTCTGAAGAAATATCTGACACTGACTAAGATGATGTAGTGTGTGTAGCGACGTACTTGTGTTTGCCTTCACACTTAGTACACATCATGGTGTTCATGGCTTCCTTCAGGTCATCCTGCAGTTTAGTGAGGAAGTCATTCATGGACTTTGAGAGCTCAGTTGCTGCCATTCGCTTCCTGCATGGGACCGAAATAGACATGTTTTTAACAATGAATATAACGGGCATAATGACCAAACTCTCAAGTAATTATTGTACAATTGTATTCCCATTAACCCAAATAATTTCAGAAGAAAACACTATTCATCCTTAAATAATAGATGGTTTAAGACAATTTTTTTATTTACTATCATTATTTTAAATATGTTCTAATTGTAGGACATTTGAATATTGAGGATGAGATGAAGTAGAAAGGATTTGTTTTTTTAAGTATGCTACTCGTTACTATGTTTTTGATTATGCTTGATTTATTTTTTTATAATTGCCTTCAAATTTATATATCCTTTAATAACAACTTTTTTGTGCACTCACAACTCATATTCTCGTCGAGTCTCCGGATTACTGACAATATCCCAGGCAGCCCTGAGTACTTTGAACGCCTCTCCAGCTCGTGGGTGTTTATTCTTGTCTGGATGTACCTGAAGAAGAAGTGAAAAAGTTAAAGGCTGTACAAGTAAAAAATGTAGTCCTCTTTTAGCAGTATTATTTTGATTAACACACACCTGTACAGCAAGCTGTCTGTAGGCCTTCTTTAGTTCAGCCTCGGTGGCGTGCACCTCCACCCCGAGCACAGTGAAGGGGTCGAGCTCCTCCTCTGGTACCTCAGCCAACGCCAGCAGTCTATCCAGCTCCTGTCCTGGCCCGCTCCTCCCCACTCTGCTGGGTGAGTAAGGGCTGGACGGGGGTACACGGCCATTCCTCCTGAACTTGCTTCGGACTCTTTCCAGCAGGGACCCCACCCTCTTCCAAAACCTTGACTCCTGAAAGGTTGTCCAATAGCGCTTTCCCCTTTCTCCACTAAGACGACCCAATGCACATTTTGCCCAATGGTAACCCAGAATAACCAAAGCACAGAAAAGTCTCAAACAATATAAGGCAGTAGTCGTTACCCACTTCACTGACCTAACAGTTTTATCCATGAGGTCCGTTCCTGTGCATTTAGTCCATTTCAAAACCCGAGAAGCGTCTGCCTTCAGCCCTGCTATATCTGTGATCTTTACGAGGACCTGCTGCCCTAGGCTGTAAAGTTTCATCCCTCCAGTCTCAACACCGACTCCACAGTTGTGTGTTAATGTGACAATAATCTCAATCATCATGTGGACGCAGGAGATGCACCAGAAGCTCACAGACTCCGACAGCATCTCCTTGAAAGCTAAGAGGAGCTGGTTTCCTGTCCGCCTGCGACCTCGGCTCTGATGGTGATGGTGGTTACGTCTGCGGGTCTGCTTGTGCCGGCTACCACTGGACGTAACATTTCCTTTAGGAAGAGAGGAAAAAGCGCTTTGACTGCCCTGCTCTGAAACTGATCCACTGCTCCTCAATTTAAATCTCCGACCAGGACCAAGATTTCTCCAACTAGACTCCCCGTTCATGTGCTGCTCCTTCGCAGCTTCATCCTCTTCCTGATTTATAACATGCAAGTTCTCTTGATCTGCAGTGTCTTCATGCTCAGACCCATCTGAAACCTCCTCCGTATCCTCTTTGGCCTCTGGAGATCCATAATACCCTGCTTCACCAATCCAAGAGTCATTTGGAGTGGCTGGATTTGGGGTGTCCTGAGATGTGGCATAGGCTGTTTGGTCCTCCAGCTGGCATTCGTCATCAGTCCGTCTGGCCTCCCACTGACCACACTCGGTCACTGATGTGGAATCACCATCAGGGAACTCCTCGTCAGCATCGGAAACGCAATCCATCTCTTTCTCAGCTTCTTCTCTCTCCATCTTCCTTACAGCTGTTTGTTTGAAGTTTTGGGGAATTGGAATCTTATGGAAGATTATATCCTAGATCCATAATCTGTGGCAACATTTTCCCCAGGCCCTCATAAAGAAGTGAGTCTGGGGGCTCCTGAGGGATAGTGTCAGGTCCACCATATCAGCCGCCCCTTCCAGGTGTCAATAAGGCTTTATCACATCTCACATCATGCATCATGCGGTTATCTGAAAAGCAAGAAAATTTAGAGCTCAGTTTAAACCTGTGATAAGCGGAATAGAGTATTGTGACATACAAAACATTCCAGGTTCAAGGTTCCCAAATGTGAGGACTTTATGCTTTTCTGCTTTACCTCAACGGAATATCTTTGTGTTCGAGTCAACTGTAACAGGCAATTTCACTATCTTCTGACATGTTATCGATATCGAAGATAATAGTTTTTAGTTTTCCCTGCTGCTACTAGTAGGCTACAATCAACATGGGATGATAACAATAATAGAATTCAACATGATATCGATGTAGAATGAGTCATTTCAATTATTAATGATTAACTTACATGTAAAGCAGATACAAGACCTTATCTATCTAGTATTTGTAATAGTGAACTTGCAATAATTAGGACACACACACACACTTGCTTGTCGACGTACAAAATGTGCTAAACAGATTACATTCATGTAACTAATACTTAGTTGTTGGCTGATCAAGTTATACAATGAGGAAATGCCGTGTTTCTAGAAACGAGCTAACGTGGCATGAACAAACGTTGGAGAATTTAGAGCCCAATAAAAAGCGACGAAAACAGCCATTATAAAGCGGGCAAACTGTCTGGCAGACTAATTAGACACTCATTTAACACCACCATATATTTTAAAGGCGGCTAAAGTTAGCAGAGTGTTAGCATGGAGAAACAGTCAGCCAACAGGATGACAGACAGTCGTTAAAGGAGCTAAAATTAGATTGCTATCTGGCTGCCTAACATGACAACATTTCGACAAGATACGGTCTCAGACGAGGATTAAACGACAGCACAGAAGCAAGCTGGGGACGTATTTAACTAGCAGTAAGCCAACCGAGCAGCTAACAGTGAAGTGAGCTAATAACAGCAGCTAGCCAGAGATGCTAACGTTAACACTAGCGGCTGTTCCCCTTCATGTGGGGAGTCAGCTAAGGCATGTTGTGGACACCAACCTTACCAAGCGAGGAAGAAAATCATCTTACATTTTGCATTCAAACAAACTAGATGTCATATATACCTCTCAGTTAAGTGTGTAACCTTGTTTGTTATCAGACAGCCAAGTGCCCGTGTTGTTTTTTTAGCCACTTCTTCTTCTTCTTCTTCTTCTTATTTGCTTCACTTGGCAGATCCATACTTACTTTCAGGTGAATACCACCACCTACTGTACCGGAGTAAGTAGAGCAGGAACTAGTTTACATGCATCTTTTTTTTTTAAAGTGCACTGTACTATTGTCTACTTAATAAAAATAAGGGTACTTGTAGCAGGCTACCTGAGTATTTCAATTTCAAGCTGCTACTCTCTAATCTAATACAATTCGGAGACTGATGATATAGCTTTTTACTCCACTGCATTGATCCACAATCTTGAGTTTCTTTAAACATTCATACTACAATACCTTCACTTAACAGTAATACACATGGGTTTATACATCTTCTTTTAAGGCATAGATAATCTTTTTATTCATTCATGTATTTTACTTCCCATTTAGCCTGACCTTACAGCCTACGGCAACCTTTCTGACATTAATCCATCCATCTATAAATGCATCGTCCCATAAGAACATTATTTTACAAGAAAACCGGTAACCCTAAAACCGTCTCACAATAAATACAGTAGATGTATTTGGTACGAATGATGGTATTTAAAAATCAAATGAATAATGAGCATTTGGGTTGTAAATCTAAAAGCAGATCATGGCAAATCATGCAAAGTGCACTGAGTTCTACAACATGTGGTTCAGGTATTAGCAGTGCAGTGGGGCAATCAAAAGTAGCCTATATTAGTTCCAGTGAAATGTTCATAGGCATAAACTTATATAAAAAAGTTAGATTTACCACTTGGTGTATATGTGAACATTTTCACACACAAAAAATAATACAAGCATGATAGAAGTTGAGGGATGGGCAAGACTGTTCACCTGGTTAAATAAAGGCTACAAACAAACAAACTGTATGGCGTAACCTGTACTTTCAGGACCCACCTCCACAAACCAGACCACTGTTGATTATAAAACTCCCAACTCCTCAAATTGTTCTTTATTTAAGTCTATAGTGGTGGTAGTGCTGACTACTTGTTTTGGAGTCTTCCACATGGAAACTCTGGGAACCCCCCACAGCTTCTGCATAAAATACACATCTTGAAGACGCAGAGGGTTAACTTCAAGCCCCCACCAACACCACCACCCACATCTCCAATTTGAAAGCCGCCTCTCTACCGGGAGAGGAAGGCTCTTTTTCGGTCAGATGGCGTGCTGCAGTCCGCCCCCGTCATTCTCCAGCCCACACAGACAGGGCAGCCAGCAACCAATACGCTGCGCCGGAGGAGGATTTCTGCCAGTGATTTCAGACGAGCTACGATACGCAAAGGGGATTTACTACGCCAATCTGAGCTGGGGAAGCTTTCGGCGATAGGTAACAGGGTAAGAAACTTATAGGATAAAAACTGCGATGTGTTTTAGGGTGTTTTCTACGAACATCTGGCTGAGGAATACTCGATGGTTTTATCTAATGTGCAGCCAATAATCCAAGTGTTAATACTTTGTTTTGTACGCTATTCTAAATGTAACCTGCGTTTTATCTAATGTGCAGCCATGTCTCATTGACATTAGTTTTTATTTCTTTTTTAGTCACTCACTCCGGGAGTAGCCTACCGACCTTGGAGAGACACCATTCTGTAAAAACTGTCTGCACATCGGTCTGACCTGAATAAGGTAAGAGAGCATTTTCTGTACACCATCAATCATATAAGGGCTAAAAGAAAAAATAATTAAAAAAGAAAGAAAGTTGAACATGGTTTGCATATGTAAGAAACTATTCCAAAGCATGCATCAACTTTTTATATTCATGTATTTTTTATAAATGCTTTATCATGATAGAAGAGGTGCAGTTCAGATGACAAAATACAACAAGATGTCTAAACCTGCAGGTTCATGTCTTCCTCTGCCTAAACTTTCCACAGCTGTGTGCCATGTCTCTGCCTCGCACACTTGGGGAGTTGCAGCTGTATCGGGTCCTCCAGAGGGCCAACCTGCTGGCCTATTATGAAACCTTCATTCAGCAGGGTGGTGATGACGTGCAGCAGCTCTGTGAGGCAGCAGAGGAGGAGTTTCTGGAGATCATGGCTCTAGTTGGCATGGCCACCAAGCCACTGCATGTGCGTAGGCTCCAGAAGGCCCTCAGAGACTGGGCGTCCAACCCTGCCCTCTTCAGCCAGCCCGTCTCCAACGGTCCTCTGGGGGGCATCCCACTGTTCAAAGTGGACGGCACAGGCTCTGGTGGATCGGCAGGCGGGCCCAGGAAGTCTCTGAGCAACGGGCAGCCTGGGTCCCCCTGTGAAAGGGAAGATCGGGCGTGTCTTACTCCGATGCACAGTGGGAGTCCCAGAAGCCCTTGCTCCCAGGCATCCCCACAGCCACCAGACTCACACTACAGGGAAAAACTGTCCCCCATGGACCCACACTGGCTCACCCCAGAGCCCGATGGGAACTGCAATCTCTCATCTGGACTCGAGGATGAGTCTCCCAGCCCACCACTGATGTCAACATGTCCTCCTGGTCCCTCTTCTTCTCCAGGCCCCTCTGCACTGTCCGCCTGGCCCGGAGGACAGCTGGACGGGGAGACGGCAAGGGCGGTGGTGGAGAGCGTTGACAGGCTCCTCAGGACCCTGCCCAGGTCAGATGCTGCAGAGGTGAAGACTCTTCTAAGGATGAACAAGAAGATGGCAAAGACTGTGGGACACATCTTCAAAATGGGTTCCCAAGATGTTAACAAAGAAGAAGAGATCAGGAAGTACAGTCTCATTTATGGACGTTTTGACTCAAAGCGGAGAGAAGGGAAGCAGCTCACACATCATGAGGTAAAAGCACCAGCGACAAAGATGACATTGTTAAACATAGGGAGATAGAAGAGTTTGGAACATGTATAAGTGAACATTTTGCATAAAATATCACCCAGACAATGAATCCATTTCAAAAATAAAAGTTCAAAATCCAGAGTGCAGCTATTTATACATTTGTATACACAAAGTAATCAATGTATGTATTGTCTGCATTATATCTTTAAAGCCCTTTCCCTCCTTCACTCAGTGCTTTTCCTCCTCAGTTGATCATCAACGAAGCTGCTGCCCAGTTCTGTATGCGCGACAATGCCCTTTTGCTGAGACGGGTGGAGCTCTTTTCTTTGGCTCGGCAGGTGGCGAGAAAATGTGCCTACACCTCCACACTAAAGCATGCAAGGTAGGGACGCTGCCTGGAGAGAACAGTAATCTGTTCACCAGCAGCCAGTAACCAACACACCTCACACCTCGAGAAAAAAATCTGGAATATAGATTTAATTTCAATCCAGAACATGGAAACTCTGAAAATAAATTCATGGTTGAGTAGCATTTTGTTGTAATCAGTCATATGGGAAATAAAGGAAATCATAGCAGAAAAACTCACTTATGAGTCATAGTCCTACCGGTGCATTTATTTTCTTAATAAACATGGTTCAGAACACATGGGGAATTAAAGTCCAAACTCTGTGGTGTAAGAATGATGAGCAAAATTGGGGCCACACAGGAAAACAGAAATCCCCATTGTGTGTTTTACCTTGCATACTATATTGCTATAAAATATAAGCTTTAATGAGAGTTTCAAATTCCCTTGTTTATCAGTGTCATAATTCCAGATATCATTGAAACAACGATATTTAAAAATTCTAATATTTTGACCAATATACAAATATATATTTGATATCATCCCCCCAAGTCCAGTTAAAAAAGGTCTTGCCGCAACTTGACAAACACATTGTCGTGATTTACAAAAGTAAAAACCTAAATCGTCTTCATCATTCACCTGCCGAAGAAGGTGAAAGATCTGTGAAAATAATGTGTTAATGACATTTCTTGTAGCTGAGGTCACAAACAAACTCTTAATTTCATTTCACTGTGTTTCTCCTGCAGGACAAATGCAGATGAGAACAGCCTACTGTGCCAGAAGAGAGCGAGACATGAGGTGAGTTTTCATAGAAGCACGGCTGCCATTAACAATACTCAGTGACATAGTGACTTCCAATAGATTAATGTGTGTTTCTAACAAACGACCCTGTGGCTAAACGTAGCCAAAGTTCAGGTTACAAGTCAGTCATTTGAAGTGGGATATGAGCACTAAATTGTCAGTGATGTGTTTTAGGTAATTGTGCCTGAGAGTGTGTCCTCACTTCTCGGAGTGGAGAGCTCCGAGGGCTTGACCCAGAGGGCAGATGATGACAGCTTATCTGCAGAAAGCCTCGACAGTGTATCACATGGTAAACACTCCTTATCTAAATCATTAAGATATGTAAACGGGTCATAATTTAATCAGCTGATCTTTAACTCCAGACATTCTTCATATTTATTTCTATAATAATTTATCGTATTTGTAGACAGCATTTACACCCAAATCTGTGTGTCCTGTTAGACATCGGCTCACAGTGCAACCAATCTCCATCCCCCCGTCCCCACACCGACACGTCCAACCCTGCCAACTGGAGTCGCCATCTCATACAGCAAACGCTAATGGACGAAGGGCTGCGATTGGCTCGGATGGTCTCACATGATCGGGCCGGCAAGATCAACCTAGCGTCAGAACGAACTCACTGTACAGGTGACTTTTCCAACAATGACTTAACTATTAGTGCTGCAACTTTTAAGTTTGAGTAATACAGCAATTGTTTTCAATTTTTTCAATATATTGTTTTGTCTATAAATTGTCCAAGATGGTGTCTTTAAATGTCATTTTTTGCCCAAGATATTCAGTTCAATATGATGTAAATACAGAAAAAAGCAGGAAATCTTCATAGTTCGAGGCTCTTGCTTAAAAAAAAATGTTATCGATTGACAAAATAGTTATCAAAAAGTATCCCATTAGTCGACTTATCGGTTCAGTTTCATTAACAATAATATATGCTTAATAATGAACAAGGTCTTTTTGCAATGCTTGTCCAACTATGTTAAAAAAAAATAGTTTGATATTATGGGGAATACACTTCTTTGCTTTCTGGTAGAGATTTAGATGATAAGATCAACACTGCTTTCATATTTGAACTGCAAATAAATATAGGTTCAGCCAGCAGCTGGTATTACACTAACCGGCTGCTGGCTCATATTTAACAGACATGAGAGTGGCATCAATGTTCTAACTGTCTGTGCAAAAGCAATATGAAATATGAAACTATTAGTTAAAGTTGGAAAGTGGGGGAATTAAAAGCGAGCCAGTTGACACATGGGGTTGAATAGAAAATGACAGACAGAGTCTTCCTAACCTTTGCTAACAATGAATATTTTATAGCTCTACAGCTTGATCTGTAGTGAGTCACAATCTCTCTGAGGTGACGCCTCCCACCATGCGCAGCTGAACTTCAGCAGTCTGTAAATTAGAGAGGATAGAAGTTAGAAGGGGAAACAGAGGGAGGTGTTGAGTGATATATGGAGAGGAAAGGAGTGAGAGAAGGAGGGTAGAGAGCGAGAGAGGATGGGTGGTGTTACACTGTTTTAGCACTTCTTCCATACCCTGTTACTGTAGCAATTTTCTGACGCATCACAGATTCTCACAAGAAAAGCAAGTGATCTGGGCAAGTCAGCCGTTCTGTGTCGAAGAGATGAAGCGAGGAGAAGGAAGCCAGCAAAGACATGAGGGGGCGGGCAGGGAGGGTAGGGAGGAAGTACTCTGTGGGCGGCAGAATCGGACCCCCCCTCTCAGCAGCAGCTGACGTCAGAGTGTGTTAGGAGCGTGGGCTGAAGGGCGGGATGGATGGGGCGTGGGGGCGAAGGAGTGGGAGGTAATTGGAGGGGCGTTGCATTGACTCACCAAGCGACAGTGTACAAAAATAAAACCTGTGGGCAGAGAAATGGCACAGTCTTTTTTATACAGCTTCTCCCACTACCAAAGGGACTGCGGAAATAACAAAAAATGACATATGTTTCATCTCTGACGTCGATCTCCCTCGTCTTGGTTCTTCTTTTTTCTGTCTCTCTGATCCAAGTTTCCTTCGCATGTCTCTCTCATAACTGATCTTCCTTCATATTTCTGATTACGTGCTATCGTTTTTTTTATTGCATCTGTTCTTCATCAGTTATTTTATTACTGCTTGCTGTATGGACATAGAGGTCTTCTTAATTAGCAAATTAATTAATTAATTTTCATTGACTTGGGAAACAAGTTAAGTGGTATTTACATGTACTACTTCTCTTGCAAGCTAATTAATGCACATCAGAAAATACAAATCAACTTTGGTTCATTGGGCTTGGTCATTTTAAAAGTAGCTCCCAAGCTGAAAAAGTGTGGGCACCCCTGCTGTAGACCTTTTGTTATTCACCAGCTTGGGTTTGTCATAAACCATGATGAGTTCAGTGCATGTGGGAGAGTTTCTCAGTGAATTCCCCAAACTATTATTCAGAGGTCTTGAAACACTTGTTGCATCTTGAGTAATATGACTGAGCTTGTGTACAGTATAACCTCAGTTTTATAATAACTGGCTGTCCGGGCATTGTCAAACTGTGCTGTTCATATATCACTCAAAGCACAAATTACAAATTTGACCTTACTCCACAGATCATGACGGTAAAGTGGAGAGGCGGAGCTCGATAACAACGTGCAGGAGCAGCAGCCCTTGCATCACCAAAGACGAGTCTAGTCACCGGGGAAAATGAAAAAACTCAGCTTTTTTCCTCCGGCCTGCCACTGAACTCTGTCCGTTTTACAGGCTGCTACTGACACTGACATCTGATGGGAAGAAGACTACAGTAATTATCTGAATTAAGGAATGATACCATAAATGTGGAGTGACTTCTAAACACTGAAAAATATTCCATTTTGACTTTATAATCACTAAATATGAAGGGGAGACACAGAAAGTGGGAAAATTCAATGTTTTTATATGGAGAAAAAACATGATTAAGAAAATAAATCTAGTTTTCAGGTCAGTTTTTATTGTAAGAAGTGCCATGTGTTGACAGTGCGGCAGGTTTTAAATTAAATGGGCTCTACACAGTAGAGGGCACTGTAACTTTGGAAATAGAGTCTCTTACCTTCATCCAGTAACATACTAGTTATGTTAAGGGAATCTGGTGTCATACTGTAGGTAGACTTGTATTGACTTTTATAGCAAGTAACAGGCTAAAAAAGAGTATAAGCAGCTCCTCACCCTCAGGAAAAAATGTGATATTTTAGTTTTTGATGTATGTGCATTGTTTAGGATTCAAAGATGGTAATACTCAGCCGTGTGTTCACTCAAATCGCCGTTAGGTTCAGAGGCCTTTTGTTTTTCGCTGCATCATCCAATCGCCCATATGATCTAAACAAATGGGTTGTGGTTTATTAGATACAAAGCCGCAGGTCTTCATCATCCTCTCCTTCACATCTTTATGTAATGGTATTTTGCACAAGCAGCTGATATGGTGTTTTGTAAGAGATGATTTTCCATATTTTTCATTTTCTTAAATTCTGTGAGAATGCCCCCCAGAAAACCTTTCAAAAGCTGGTCAAAATTTCGTAAGAACACCAATGTTTTTTTATTTTATTTTCAGCTGATAGTTAACATTTTAGTTGCCTCTCTACACATCAGGTTACAGGCTCTTGCTCCAGAGCAGGGAGGATGCTGCTTTTCCCCCTCCTCTTACTTGAATGGTGTTCCCAATAGGTGCCATTTTACAGCCTGTGAGGACACTGCATTCAAAACTACATTGCAAGATTTAAAGGATAAAAAAACAAAACCACAGCATTTAAAAATAAAAGAGAGGTGATTAGTGTAAATGTTTAATGCAGTTTTATTTAGGCGTGGCGGAAACAGACAATATGGCTGCATGTTTTTCTGATGATTTCTGTAGTCTTAGATATTAAGTTAACTAATGGTTTACTTTCTAAGCTTTAGAAAAATAAAAACCCATGCAGAGGTTTACAGAAAGACATTTGCTTGACTCTCGATACAGCAACTGCTTCAAGTTATGCCAGCCTATTTGACCCTGATTAAAGTGTAAGTGTTTTCAGACTTAATGTAATGCTAATAATGACTTTTTGTATGCTTAATCACAGAGTATGTCAGTGAGGTAGCTTTCTGTGCATCAGTTACACCTGCCTGTCATTTGAGCATTGATAACCTCCTCAGTTTATTATGTTGCAAAACAGATTATTTATTTTGTTACATCTCAATAAATGTTATTTTATTGCTTAAAGCGTGTTGGTTTCCACAATAAATAATATCTTCTTGGCTTTTCTGATGTGTGTAAGAAAAGGGCTGCGGGAGCTGCGTCACACAGCCAGCGACACCTCTGCAGTCGTATTGTTTGTTGCACTGACTCTCTGCACTGAGCTTGGATGCTGGCATGACTCACCTGTACCACCAATGTAATCAGCGCTCATTCACACAAACACACAGCAACTCTCTCTATTATCAGACAGAGAAGATAAAGACAAACAAACATCATACTACCTCAAATAATTTAGTACTTTGGTCTAGACTAAAACTTCCCAACAATTCATTTATTGCCATGACGAGACAACGGACAACTACTAGTTGTATAGTTTTTATCTGACCGTTACAAATAAAAACTCTATACAACTAAGAATACAATATTTTAAAGTGGCCCTGTTTTGCTCATTTTCTGGTTCATATTTAGTGCCTCTACTCAACATGTTTGGAAGCTTTAATGTTCAAAAAGGTCTTTAATTTTCTCATACTGCCTGTGCTGGAGCACCTCTTTTCACCCTCTGTCTGAAACCAGACTACTCCGATTGGTTAGTTGGCCGGCTCAGTTGTCATTGGTCAACCGCTTAGAGATGTCCCGCCCCTTAGCCTATCAAATTCAATGTGTTGGAGCACTAGCCAATAGAAGGGTGAGTGTTACGTAGTGATGTAACTATGTCCCGGACGTAAACAAAAGCGTCCAATGGAGGCATTTAATGCAGGAGGGGAGTATGTCCGAGGGAAACTCCCTCTGACGTGAACTTTGGGATTTAAGCACAAAAACGTATACAACACACAACAGGAAAGGGAAACCCCCTAAAGCTTGATAGGGCCCCTGTAACCTGTTATGAGCTCAACATTCAACTTTCGTGGCCTTTATGTCGAAAAACGCATCACAACTCATATACAAGAAGCTTTCTGTACTTTTTCACTTATGATATGGACTCTTTTTGTAAACACAGTAAACACAATCACAATAGGTCAGCATTAGGTACAGAATCTAGAGAGGATCATTGGTGAAAAAACTGATCCTTTGACTGAAGAAATATGGCGCGACCACCAGGTCAACATTTCTGTTTACCAAATTGTTTGGTTAATGACCATAAACCTGCAAAACATACAACATGCCTATCATAACCAGCAACTGTAAGAATACTAAAACGCTAAACTTCAATGGTAAACATAATAACTTCTATAATTATTTCTAAATATCCACATGCTAACATGCTAGTCTGAAGCACCGCTGAGCATGGCTATAGACATTACATTACATGTCACTTGTTAGACGCTTTTATCCAAAGCGACTTACATACTCAATACTGTGGCCAACCCCCACAGGAGCAATTTGAGGTGAAGTGTCTTGCCCAGGGACACAATGACATGCTGATTGCAGTGGGGTTTGAACCTGTGACCACCTGATCCAAAAACCAACACACAACCCACTGCACCACACGCCCCAGACTTACAGTTCTGTACAGTGTTTCAGTAGGCTACTGTAGACTGTAGAGTCTTATTTAATTACAAGTCCTCCATCAATAGACCAATGTCACATACACCCTGTTCAGATGTTAAAGGTGAAGTTCATGCAAAATAAATTGCTTTTTATATTTGATTAGACTAGACAAATGATACTTTCCTCTGATTATGTGAGCCACAGTAAATGCGCAGCAGATGAATGCAGCCGTCATCATCAATCAGCCGTCAGCAACAATTATCAGGCAGTTTAATCTTTGAGTCTATTCTTAGCCCATGCTCTTTCTTCAGTAACACAGCAGAGCAGCAGACAGATTATCAGTTGAATGCCTCACAGCAAACACTTGAAAAGCGTCAGGAAGGATATTAATGAAATTAGTAGGTTTATCATCTGCTTACACATCTTGAATATTTTAGGATCTTCCAGATGAGCATTCAAATTCCCCCATTGCATGCAAATATGGGCAATATTAATAAGGATATTTGAAAAAGCTAAGAGTGCCTGCAAAGCCTTGTAGCAAATTTGAAAATCTTGTAACAAAAGGTTTTGAATAATAAATTTCTTCGGATTTAATTATTTATTATTGTTTTCTTCAAGCCACTTCATATAAAGTGGAACTGCAAATGTAAAGATCAACCAACGTACATACTGACATGATTTTTTTACATCAATTTGGAGATGGCTATTCTCTTACAACATTTAGTTATTATAATAAAAATGTAGAAAATGTCATCTTAAACCAAGGTAAACTAATGTACAGTTACATAAGTGTACAATAATCACTGGTCAGTGAGTACTGAACCCAGTCCCAACCATTTCATAACAGGTTAGCAACAACAGCAATTTGAGACGATGATGATGTAAGAAACGTGGCAGTAGATGCTCCAACATGTGGAAAGAAAGATTTTCTGTCTTCAAAACAGATATAATCTCCTTTTCAAACAGTTACTTAAGATCATAAACCCCAAATAGTGTCTCTCTTTCCAAAACTACCTTTGTTAAACATATTTTTAATTAGACACAATATCCAAGCCAAAATGACTTTGGTGCTCCATTTTGTTTATGTCCAAGAGCTACAGTAATATTAGGGTTTCAGATTGAAAAGAGGAAAGAACGCCAATTTGCCTGAACATTACAAATCACCATTTATTTCAGAGATTTATTTCCCTTTAAAGGCTGTGTAAGCCATCAGGATCTATATGGTCTTCAAACACATGTAATATCTATTAATCTCATTATGTAGAGCAATGTTTCTATTATCCAAACATTGTAATTCACCAAAGTAGGAATGGAAGTTTCACGAGTTTGCATTGTATTTCTGGCTACCTAGCTTATCATTTAAACACTGCATTGTAGGGTAATGTAAAAAGTGGACTCAATCTGAAGCCTTGATATTGGCACCTGTTTACAAAATCAACATATTGAAGAAGACTTGAAACATACACTCATCAAGAAAACGTGAATCTTGGAAATCAAAGTAGAAGTAGTCTCATTTTCTTTTGGAACCACTGGAGACTTTTGTTGGCTATGTGAAAGAAAGCAGGCACGTTGGCACTGGCGTCACTCTTGTTGCTGAATGATAAAGACACACTCATGTCATGAAGAGAAGACAGATCAGTTGAGTCTAGGTGACGTGGGTGTACAGATGGCGTAGGAACTCTCCTCTGGTGGCTGTGTCCCCGGGGAAAACCGCCTGGCAGAACTCACAAACATGAGACTGCAGCACCACGTCTGACATCAGCATGTCTCCAAACAAGGAGGGGCCTCCTGTCGCGGGCATCTGACACAAACACAGAGGACAAGACATGGACATTAGTGATGGGAATTCCGGCTCTTCTTGGTGAGCCGGATCATTTGGCTCGGCTCACCAAGAAGAGCCGGCTCTTTCGGCTCCCAAACGGCTCTTCAGTTTACCACATATTATACCTTTTATAATTCAATCAAATGTAGCCCTGTTTTGACTAATGATTTATATGTGTACACATATCACTTAAATTATTCAATACATCCTTTGTACTGAAGTATTCAAAAGTAAAAATTACATGTTTAATATCAATTATTTGCTGTGGCCAATTGTTTTCATTGCATTTACAGACCCTTGTATCTCTCTGATACCACCCAATGAATGCACAGACTTGCTTGTAGAACCACGCTACACAAAGCAGATAGCAACACCTATAAAAACTTAAGCATAGACATTTAAAAAAAGGGGCTACTGTATCGACATTTTAAAATTATATTTAAAGAAAAGGCCCTGACAAAACAGCAGGGCTCTATTTCAGTATTAACTATAGAAAAAAAGACAGCAACAGCTGACATCAAATCTTTGCTGAGCCCAAGGATAATCATAAATAAATAACATAGTGAAAATAAATATATTGCAATGCTCAGTACAGCAGCATCCAACCGTCTCTAATCATAAAAAAACATAATACAAATAAATGTATTGCAATGCTCAAAACAGCAGCATCCAACAGTCTCTAATCCTTGGATATTACATGTCACTGCATGCATGCACGCACGGAGCAGCTGTAGCGCGGAGATCATCATATCATTCTGTCTTGTATTACTTAACAAAAATAAAAAAAACGGCTCGTTCGCGGGCGGGAGCCGGCTCCCGTCGTTCACTTAAAAGAGCCGGCTCTTTGAGCCGGCTCGTTCGCGACCGACACATCACTAATGGACATTTTTGAGGAAGAACATGCTAAAAATCCAATGCCAGGTTTGAGGACCCTGGGCCAATACAGGTGGGATTGTTGTCCAGTGAAGAGACCTACCCCCACTGTGTGCATTGTCCTGTCTCCAACACGATTATCTGTGTGCCCCGCATCATTTGAGACATGAGGACAGGCTCCTTGCAATCTCGGGATGTCAAAGCTTAACAGGGGTGCAACCATTTGCTCAGACTTCCCATCTGCCTTTCCCGTCTGATGAGGCACATCCACATTGAGCTTAGATATATCTTCAGCTAGGACATCGTAAAAGGTCCCCACGTTTTTAGAGAGGCCAACAACGCCACAATGTGCTGCAGGGTTGCATGATTTGGAAGTTTGATGCTTTTCGTGGAAATATACAGGGATTTCTTGGGTACACTGGACAGGGATGGACATCAAATCACCCAACTCTCCATTAGAAACAGCGGCACCTGCAGACAAAGAGGTTTAGATGTTAAAAGGATAGTTTTAAAGTTGGTTTGTTTAAAGTGTTTATTTATAGCCAGTGTATAAATAGTGGTCAGCGAGCCCAAAGTTTGGAAAAAACAACAGAAGTTACTGCTCCTAAAATAAAGCAATGTACTGCTGTGGACTGGGGCAGCAGCAAGAGTGGTCGCCTCCATCTATCCTCTCAACAAAGATTCCTCTGACAAAAATCATAATATTACCTTGCAGAACTTGGGGGTTGCTAGTTTATTTGCGCTACTGTGTGTAACACAAACAAATTAAATGCAGTAAAATCTTATTTTGTTACATTTTACTGCACTCAGAATTCTACATAACTATATTTTGTGTAAATATTGTCTTTATTTTCATTTGTTGCAATAGTCTTAGCTTTCATAATTGTAAAACATTTTATTTAATTTTTCATTTGGTTACGTATTCTACTTTCTGTGTCTCTGTATGCACCACTTATACCAAATCAAATTCCCGTACTGTATGTGTAAACCTACTGTAGTTGGTAATAAAACTGATTATGGTTATTTACTTCTTTTTTTGTTGTTCTTTTTTCCTTTAGGTTTCTAAAATATGTTTTGCCTATGTCCTCTTCCATAACAGTACGTCAATTAGCTTTCATGCTGGTACCCCTGTCTGTGTCTCCAAACCTGAGTGTTGTCAGCTGCCTTTTATGTAGGGGATTCATTGACTTTGACTAAATAACTCAAACAGACTCACAGACTCACTTGAAAACAACAGATTATGCCTGGCACCATGAATGACAGCTAAGATATGATTATGAGCATTTGAAATAAATTAGGCTTTAAAAGGACCTGGCTGTTTCTGCAATGCTGTTGTGAGTTGATGTAGCAGAGCTGCCTGTCTCAGGCAAAGCGACCTCAGGTGGAGAAACTGCTGGTACAGTTCACTGTAAGCTTCCTCCATCTCACCAGCTCATGGATCTGCAGATGTTACAAAAATGGAAATAAAATGTATCTATATCTAAATTCTAAAATCTTGTATATATATACTTAGCAAATACAGATGTGTTACTTATTAGGAAAAATATTAAGAGTCATCAGTCATGCTAGCTCCTTGGCAGTACTCAGATATAGTAGAGCTTTGAGCTAAGTGTTACGGGCCGTCTCCACGGCAGCGTTAAAAAATCTTGAAACGCTTCTGCCCATTCACTTTGAATGGGGTGACGTCACTTTTTTTCGCTTTCGCCGAAATGCATTGTGGGCAGGCGAGCGGAGATTCTCAGGATTTTCAAGATCCAAAGTTGAACAATGTTCAACTTTTGAAGCTGAGGAGGAAGCGTCAGCCAATCAAATCCCGTGTACGCAAATCTGACAGTTCAAGCTCTAGCCAATCAAACGGCGTGTATGCTGGGAGAGACAGACCGCAGGTCATTTCCTCATATTCCAAAACATGGAGGAGAAATTAGCGGTAGCGAATCAATCACCCGGTGCTTTATGACCAGACCTACCGGGATATAAACCGGAGGAGCCAGGCATGGAGGGAGGTGGCAGAGACAGTGGTATGTTTTCGCCTGTTTTGGGGAGTTTATATCCAGTTTACTTCGGGCTTTTTGGCTTCATATGTCGCGGGCGGGAGATTCATGTGATTGGTTGATCGCAAAAAAATCCCCAAGCCTCAGATACGCCCACCTCCAAGATTTTTTTAACGCTGCCGTGGAGACGGCCCGTTAATGTCAGGACGAAAAAATATTATTATTATCTTATTTTGGCTTGTAAGCATCAAATATTTAGTGACCCCTTGTGCCTTGTATAAAAGCACCTTCATTATGCATGTTAAGTAGCTATTGTTTTTCTTAAATTAGCTAGAAATCAGTCTACCATTATACGTGAAATATGACGATATCCAACTTGTAAAATTACTGAGGGCATTGCACAAAAACACTACAAATCTTTAGTGACAAATTGCATACGTACATAAATATGTCAGGATTGTCCTATTGTAATAGAAAAAGCTGTATGTGCTTTAAAATCTTCTCCGTAGAAATGTTGATCCTGGATGATTAGTACCATATGTGTAATATACAACAAACACAAATCTTTCATAAGACCTTTTGAAACCATAACACCTTTTCTGCCTCTGTGCAGTGATTAAACTCATACTTTTAAAATACATTGCACTGTCTTGCATAGTACTGAAACTGAACTTACCCCTTATGAACTAATCGGTCACTGAATCCAGGACTCCTTGTCATTTGATGACAGTTGTTTTTCAGCCTCCTCCTGCAACAGGCTTCCTTATTTGTCAAGGCAAGAGACACTGTCTCAGTATGCAAATCTAGACTGAAATCTAGAAATGTGTAGAGCACCACAAAAACAACAACTTTCTGACAGTGAAATCTATTTACCAGATGAAGTCTTACCAACCACAGTGAGTGAATGACAAGTCTGTTTCTCCCCGAGCAGACCAATGGAAAGTATGCTTTACTCATGTAACAACACAGTGTGTTGGAAAATGTTAAACATAAGGAAGTAGCTCTTGAAAATAGGGAAGTGTAAGCATTTAAATATAAAAGGGAACCTCCCCTTCACTCAGACTCTGCAGATTATATATAAGCAAGAGGAAAGAGTCAGGCTCTATTTTTTGCTACTGTTTAATTTATTAAGATTTATGCACTGACTCAGTATATCAGTACTGATAACCCTACCTCTTTTAAGCTCACATGTCACTGATCCTAGAATTCAGGGCTTCTTGTCCTTTCATAAAGTTGTTATTAGCCTTCTCCTTCTCCTTCAGGTTTCCTGGTATTTTCAAGGAAATAGACAGTGTCAGTATGCAAATCTGGACTCAAAACATCTTTACGGCCTTCACTCAAACTGTTGTAAATGAGAGTCTGCAGAGCAATGTGCTATCAAGATTTTAAAATATGTGTTCAACAGGGTAAAATGTATTTTCCGCAGAATGGAAAAGGTGTTTCCTGCTTGCTATCCAAGTTACTGCACTCGTGAACTTTTCAAATATTCAAAGGCTTCATTGTTATATGCAAATGAGGGGTTATGTATTATAACCCTAGTTATATAAGCACAGGCGGAGCCCTCTACTGGACTCTATGGGTACTACTCTCAACCATGCTATGCGAGCATTCACCTACTGAGATACATAAACGTAGCCGGCCAATCGGGGCGAGCCTACCTGAATGCGCGCGCAGGCCCACAGTATATAAGGCGGCCACGCCTCCTGACTGTCATCCTACACCCTCTTCAGCGAGCGGCATAGGAAAGACAGGGCCCCCAGGTAGAGGGCTCCGCCTGTGCTTATATAACTAGGGTTACAATACGTAACCCCCCGTTATATCTTACACAGGCTCCGCCCTCTACTGGACTCTATGGGTACAGTGGGTGGAACCCTGATGGGTAAACGCCCTGTCGTTCAACAACATCGGAAAATAGTGAGGAAGACTCTCCCCCGCCTGCCCACAGGCAGGTCCACAAAAAAGTCCACCTTTTTTTAAGTAAAATATATGTATTAGCAGTTAGTAGTACAATAGTATACCTTGTAAATGTTATAATATTGTGTATTATGTTACAGTGTATTTTAGCCAGTGGTGGAAGAAGTACTCAGATTTGTTACTTAAAGGTGGGGTAGGTAATTTTGGAGAAACCGGCTCGAGATCGCTAGAATTTGAAAATACACAACCGGAAAAAATCTGCCACTTCCTTACAGAGCCCCTCCTCCAACACCCACGAACGTGCACATGACCAATGAGGGCACGAGATACATTTGTGCACAGATGGAAGGCTGACAGGCAGGTAGGCCATCCAGCTATTTTAGCCGGGCCAGCTAAAATGATTGGTCGTGCTTTTTACAGCGCTACGGCTTCCACAGATGAAAAAATGTTATGTATTTATTGTCAAAGCATTTAATATATTAATTGCTATCGGGATGTTAAGAGCATTCCATGGAATATAACAAAAAGTGTTTCTGAAATAAATTACATACCCCACCTTTAAGTAAAAGTAGCAATACTACATTTAAAAGTACTTTGTTAAAAGTAAAAGTCCTGCATTCAAAATTATACACACATGTAAGTAAAAGTACAAAAGTATCAGCATCAAAATAAACTTAAAGTACCAAAAAGAAAAGTACTCATTATGCGTAATGTCCAATTTCAGAATTGTACATTTATTGAGTTACTGGGTTACCATTATTAATATTGATGTGTTTTTATCCCAACTGGTAAATGTAGAGCTAATTTGAATAACTTGATATACGGCTGCTGGATATCTTAACCAATAAATATGTAATATAGGTTTATTTAATAATTGATTTATATTCTGAATTAGCTAATATTCTAAACTTAAAAAGTAACTAGTACCAAAAGCTGTCAAATAAATGTAGTGGAGTAAAAAGTACAATATGTATTTTATTACAATCCACCACTGATTTTAGCACAAGTCTTCCACAATGCAACAGTTTGACCAGAAAGTCAACTGTGTTTGACACAACGTTTCAAACATGAGGAGAAGGGTGCATGACACTGACTGAGCAATGCTTCAGCAGCATTTATGAAAATGATGTTGTATCCTTCCTTTTTTTACCCCAACACTCTGTTACTTAACTTGAACCTATTTTGTTTGTTGTTGTATCTAAGACATAAAACAATAAACAGAATATTAACGTTAGAATAGTAACTTTTATCAATCGCAACATTGTGTGATTGTCTCTGTGATGTTGACATGAAGAATCACTCTTTAGCTGGTTGACTCAGTTTCACTGGAAAAATGAGGAACTCAAACCGAAATTCGTTTTCCATTTAGCTTCTTTTCCTGCTGTGAGACTTAAATCATGTGAGAATAATTTCCCGTGTGAATCATACATATATTTTTGAGTTAAATGTAGGCTACTTACACTTTAAAGTATCGATCATTCCCAACAGGAAGTGCCGACGCAACCACAGCAGTCCAGTCCCTCTGACAGGACTGGACAAGATTCGCATTTTACTATGATGACGTCTGACGAGCTCACTCTATGGAGTTCACCGGTTCACCTGCGTCAAACAACAATAACCTACCAAAATCATACTTCCTGCCTGACTGCCTTCAAAATAAAAGACACAAACTTAAGTGGATATACAAAAGTCCCAACTAATGTGTCATGACTCATAACTTAAGATAAGCACCCTTACACATTGAAAAAACATGTGTGAGAGCATGTGTTTCATTAGCAAACGTATTGTGAATGTTCATTAAAGGAGCAGTGTCTAAGATTTAGGGGATCTATTCGCAGACATTATTGTTAAATAGAAAACATTTATGTAAAGTGTAACTTTGTTGTCAATGTTGTATAATTGCCAGAACATTTTGTTGGGTTTTCTTAACATAGAATGACCATGTTATAACTACATAGGAAGTCAGTGAAGTTTGCAATGATGCACCGCCATGTTTCTACGGTAGGCAGTTACTGACAAACCAAACTTTGGTTTTAGAGAGGACATTTGTTATGGTAAGGCAAGGCAAGGCAAGGCAAGGCAAGTTTATTTATATAGCACCTTTCAACACAAGGCAATTCAAAGTGCTTTACAAAAATGGAAGACATTATGAAAATGGCATTTAAAATCAGTCATTAAAAAGAAAAGATAATAAAATAAACATTAAAAGAAAAAATACATGGATAAAAGTTAAAAGTTACAGTGCAGTTTAAGATGTGAATAGTTCAATTAAAAGCAGCGGCAAAAAGAAAAGTCTTCAGCCTGGATTTAAAAGTAGTCAGAGTTGCAGCGGACCTGCAGGTTTCTGGAAGTTTGTTCCAGATATTTGGAGCATAATAACTGAACGCTGCTTCTCCATGTTTAGTTCTGACTCTGGGGACAGAAAGCTGACCAGTCCCTGAAGACCTGAGAGATCTGGATGGTTCATAATTTAGCAGTAGGTCAGACATGTATTTTGGGCCTAAACCATTCAAAGCTTTATAAACCAGCAACAATATTTTGAAATCTATTCTTTGACACACAGGAAGCCAGTGTAAGGACTTCAGAACAGGAGTGATGTGATCCACTTTCTTAGTGTTGGTGAGGACTCGAGCAGCGGCGTTCTGAATTAGCTGCAGCTTTCTAATAGATTTTTTAGTGAGACCTGTAAAGACACCATTACAGTAGTCGAGTCTACTGAAGATAAAAGCATGGACACGTTTTTCCAAATCCTGCTGTGACATTAGTCTTTTAATCCTAGATATGTTCTTTAGGTGATAGTAGGCTGATTTAGTAACTGTTTTAATGTGACTGTTGAAACTCAGGTCAGAGTCCATGACTACACCTAGATTTCTGGCTTTATCTGTTGTTTTGAACATTGCAGACTGAAGCTCAGCGCTAACTTTTATACGTTCTGCCTTGGCTCCAAAAACCATTACCTCAGTTTTATCTTTGTTTAATTGGAGAAATTGGTACCTGAATATAGGTTCAGACAACTTAAGAGAATGGTGAGCAGAGGTATTCACTTAGTTGCAATCTGCAATGCCACCGCTTGATGTTACTACATTTTTCAAAATTGTGCTTTTTTGAAAGTGTTTAATGTTTTTTGGACATTACTAAAAATGTATTCTGAAAAATATTCTAAGGGTTATTTTCTATGGTTGGGTCATTTTCTTTAAAAAGCGCTGTTCCAACAAATTTGACAGTAATGAAATTACACAAGTAAAAATTAAGTTTACTCAATAGAATTGCTTAATGTCCACGAATACTGAGATTGGAATAGGTGACTGTGTTTGCATCATGATACTTTTTCCTCCAACGTCAAAGTAGATGGACAATGTTACCCTGATGTCCTTTTTTTATGTTAAAGATTTCCATCCATATTATCAGCCCAAAAAAAGGTTTGCTTTTGTTTCTACTGCACCTGTTTTTGTTATGTTCAATCGTGTTTTTAATTTGTGGCATTATGGACAAAGCATCATCCGCATTATGTTGTGTAACCCTGTGTATCATATTGACAATTACAAATAATTCAATCAAAGCCATCGAACCCCTGTGATGAGAGCTCTACATAAAAGTGTTTAGTCATGGTTAGTCCTGCTTCACTGTACAGCCTGTGTGGCATTCTTGTGGTGCTGTCATGTGATGACTGTAGCTGATATGGATTTAAAAATAGACTAACATTAAGTCAGCAGAGTCCTGTGGGTGGCAGACTACCTTCAATGCCACCCATCCGTCCACTTAGGAGGAGCAGCAGTTTTTTCCCTCAATGTCAACCCCTGACAGCTGAGATCACAGCCAGCCCCTTGTGATCCAAGAGGGGTGCCAGCCCCTTTGCTTCAGACTGCTTATGTAAGAGAGGGATGGGCAGCCTTCACCTCCCTGAGTCGTGTCTTTGTCAAGTGCTTCTCCTAAAGAGGATCCACTTGTGTAATTTGCCTTATTTTTAGCTGAAAACAGCTGCTAATATGCAGTATTCACGTATTTTTGTGTTGTTAGACATATTATCTACATGTTGACCTGGTACAGTGTAACGTCAAGTTAAAGCGTGGATTTTAACAGTTTGGAAACACTTAACAATCCAGTGTACATATGCCATGGTTTAATTTTTGTAATGACTCAAATTAAGCTTTTATACTCAGGGCTCAAAGATACCTATATCATCTCAAAGTTACAATTTGATGACAGCAAGCAGTAACCACACAGCCATTAGACGATCAATTAATAATAAATGTAATATAAAGATCGCATTAAAGGTAGGGTAGGTAAGTTTGAGAAACCGGCTCGAGATACACTTTTTGTTATATTCCATGGAATGCTCTTAACATCCCGATAGCAATGAATATCTTAAGTGCTTTGACAAAAAATCCATAAAAAATGTCATCTGTGGAAGCCGTAGTACTGTAAAAAGCACGACCAATCATTTTAGCCGGCCCGGCTAAAATAACTGGATGGCCTACCTGCCTGTCAGCCTTCCATCTGTGCACAAACTTATCTCGTGCCCTCATTGGTCATGTGCGCGTTCGTGTGTGTTGGAGGAGGGGCTCTATAAGGAAGTGGCAGATTTTTTCCGGCTGTGTATTTTCAAATTCTAGCGCACTCGAGCTGGTTTCTCCAAAATGACCTACCCCACCTTTAAGTTATATAAAACCCAAGGCAGCAGGGACATGTGAGCTGAGTAGGTCCTGAATCTTGGCAGATTGTACCTGCAGCCTTCTTTACATTTCTAACCTTGTATGGATAAGGAAGGTCATTGTACTTTAATTTCAAGAGTAAGTAACCATAACTCGCTGGAACAGGAAGAAAACATTTCTACTAGGTATTGGTGACAAACTTTGAAGCTTAAGATAAAAGTGTATAAGCTGCTGGACTTTTCTACATACAGCATACACAACTCTCAGGAAGGCAGCTGTTTTTGCTTTTTTCATTCTTGTGTGGTGCTTTTATGAGCCTCAAATTAAGGCTGGAATACATTTATAAAGATTGTGTTAATAACATATCATAAAGAATATAAAATGGTAATACAAAATGACAGTAAGAGCAAAAGTTAAACAATGTCAAAGAAAATCACATGAACCATTACCCCCAAACTTCGTCTTTATAACGTGTGAATGTCTACATGTTGAAATCTATTTTGAACAGCTCTTCATGTTTCCAAGGACATGTGTGATGCTTTTACACTTCCACTGCTCTTCATGAGATGCTAGTGTCCATAACTGTTCATTAAATGTTAATATCATCAGATTTATATATATGTATTTATACAGGTTTACTAAACTCATTATAATTAAATAGGTTTCGACTACAGTACATCAATTATTAGCAGTTAGAGTGAGGATTGTTTATATCTGCAGTTATATATCTGTGTTGAACCGTAGGCCAACAGCCTGCACTAGTTGCTGGTTTGCCCCATGTGTTTGCTCTGACCTTGAACCCCTCTGTCCTTGGACACACACACACACACACACACACACACACACACACACACACACACACACACACACACACACACACACACACACACACACACACACACACACACACACTTCAGAGAGCCCCAACACAGGGATCAAGTGCAAAGGGATGGTGTTAGAGGAGGGGGGCCTGCGGACAGCAGGGTGTGTGTGTGTGTGTGTGTGTGTGTGTGTGTGTGTGTGTGTGTGTGTGTGTGTGTGTGTGTGTGTGTGTGTGTGTGTGTGTGTGTGTGTGTGTGTGTGTGTGTGTGTGTGTGTGTGTGTGTGTGTGTGTGTGTGTGTGTGTGTGTGTGTGTGTGTGTGTGTGTGTGTGTGTGTGTGCGTGCGTGCGTGTCTGGGGGATTTGCCGTGAATGTATTCCAGGCATGCAGCCAGGAACTGTCATCTGCCAGTGCAACACGATCCATCCTGTCAATCTTGTTTTATAATTGTAACATTCTCATATTCTCCGGCTGAGCAGAGCGATGTTTCCAAAATAGTGAGACAAACACACACTCACACACGCACATAAACACACACAGAAGCGCACACTTTTCTAGGAGCATCTTTATATATTAGAAATCAAATAAGGTGCATATTGAAAAAGCTAACAATTTGCTAAACGAATTAACTAACTGTTTCAGTAAAGGAAAACTGAATATTTATTTTATTTTAGGCAAAGATTAAAGGTAGGGTAGGTAAGAATGGAGAAACCAGCTCGAGTGCGCTAGAATTTGAAAGTACACAACCGGAAAAAATCTGCCTCTTCCTTCAGACTTCCTTACAGAGCCCCTCCTCCAACACACACGAAAATGACCAATGAGGGCACGAGATAAGTTTGTGCACAGATGGAAGGCTGACAGGCAGGTAGGCCATCCAGTTATTTTAGCCGGGCCGGCTCAGATGATTGGTCGTGCTTTTTACAGCGCCACGGCTTCCAAAGATGACAATTTTGTATGTATTTATTGTCAAAGCATTTAATATATTCATTGCTATCGGGATGTTAAGAGCATTCCATGGAATATAACAAAATATTAAATGTTTCTGAAGTGAATTACCTACCCCACCTTTAACACTGTAAAGTTAAAA